TAAAATCTTATGGGGGTTTTTGTCTTGTGAAGTTTTATCTGTGTTTGATCTGGAATGAGAAAATAGGATCCATTCCAGTTTGGAAAGAAACCCAGAACCCAAATTATATGAGTAAACTCACATCAAGAGACTGAAATGCCCCCAAATGCCCCCTAATTCTTCTTTTTGTGAGGATGGAAAGTTTGACTGTCAGATGAGACTGGGGAAGAAAGATGTCTCCAGATGGAAACAGATGAAAAGCTGAATTTGGCAATACTGTTAAAGTGGACTGATGGCTTTAATTATAAAGTTATATAACAAGCAATAGCAAATCCATTACAGACTTCAAAATCATGTCACATTTATCCGCTTTAAGCGCCATCAAGCACCCATTTTGCTACAGTAAGCAGAATCCACTCCAGTCTTCAGCTCCCAGGTTGAGACACCTTGTTCTTGCAATGACCTGTTTATTCAGCCCCAAAGACTCCCATGCTCAGTTTCCCACCATTTCAACAAACCCTACTTCAAGGAAAGCTTTTCCAAAAGGTCTGAACTTACTTTTGAAATTAATTCGATCCTTGTGCCAGCTGTTAGCAGTGTGCCAGTGCTGCGCACCTGCATGCATGTATTTAGGATTTGCAAATATTTATGGGAAAACTGTTAGTACAGCTACTGTTTTGCCTGCCTTGAAATACTGAGATGCTATAATACTTTGATTTGAAACATTTTAACCTGCATAAGAAAATCTTGATATAAGGATAGAAAATTCCAGTTTAAAGCACAAGGTATAGTGGTCATGGAGTTACTTCGCAGACTGGCAGAATGTATTTACAATTTCAGCGGCTAAAATGATGGAAACAGCAGTCTAGATTTGAGAAGGCTGAACTTTAGTGTGAAAGTCCTCCACAGTCCACTTAACAGTTCTGTTTTGTCTGATTTTAATTACTTTGTTACTACTAACATGACCCAGTTACCATAGTACAAATGTCAGCTTGTAAGAGCTTTTCCCTAGAGTCCTCCTCAGCTAGTATTTGCCGTTTACATTTGTTCATTCAGTGATGCAGAGTAGTTAATTAGCTCCATCTACTGCTGTACAGAGTGAATTGTACCAGCAGCGCCAGTTCTCCAGTAGCCCCTTCAGATTGTACTCATAGGGTTTCAGGCGCTCTGATCCACCATGCAAGAACTCATAGCAGAAAGCAGAAAGTTTACATCTTTCTGTTTCTTATGTCATCAGCTTTACTGTTATGTAGGTTTTCTTTAATCTCTAATCTTTTTGGTAATTTCTGTCTGAATTGTAGGGTGACAATGTGGCACATCATTTTTCTTTATACATCTTCTCATGCCAAAAGTCGTAACAGCTCTCTTTAAACAATTAGCGCAAACAATAAAGAGACTTGCAAGGAAGGAAAGGGAGCTATTTAAGTTATTGCTGCACTGGTGATAAAGAAGGCCACCGTGCTGAAAATGGGTACTTGAATGAACAGATTGGATGCCCTTATTTTGTGCTTGCCATATGTGTTGACTGGAGCATTCAGATAGGGTATTTAGTTATTTAGGCTTTTAAATACATGTTCTGATACTCATTTTAAATGCTTTCTTAGTTTATGAAAAAGCTAGTGAATGCCTATTCTAAAACATCTTTCTTAGTATTCTTTTTATTAGTTAGGTGGAGTATTCCACTTAAATCTATGCCTGGCAGCGTCCAAGGCCAGGTTGGACAGCCTTGGGCAATATGGTCTAGGGTGAGGCATCTCTGCCCATGGCAGAGGGGCTGGAACTAGATGATCTTAAGGTCCTTTCCAACATTAAGCAGCCTATGATTCTATTCTATTTAAAATGCTTTCACAAACATCCCAACTAGCACCCCAGTAAGCAGGCTACGACAAAGTTGAATCAGAGAAACACAACAGATAATTGCCAAAGTAGAAAGGTAGCAAAGATTCATATCCTCAAATGTCTAAAATCTCCAAATGTTTTTATTATTGCATTTAAAGAAATAGCTCAGTAAATTGTTTTATATTCATAATAGTTTCCCATTGAGAAAAACAATTATACCAAAGAGCTTACTAAGGTCAGAGACATTTTTCTAGTCTGCACAAAGCTTAGACACCTGTGAAGTGGCTGCAAAACCAAAAGAACAGGCTTGCAGGTATTTCAGAGAGAAAGGAAATTTATTCCTTGGGCTGGCTGCTGCCCTCAGATATGTCAAAAGTAGTGCACCTCCTGCTAACAGCAAAGCAAATTGCATGAAAGTACATCACCAGTTAATGCCATTATCCCCCTTCACCTACCTCAGGTCCCTAGCTGTACATCTGCCTCAAGTAGCCTCAAAATACTGAATTATGAGTCTGAGAAGTTTTCTGATTAGAAAACTTTGTAATCAAAGTAAGCAACAGAAAGACAACTGTCAACCAAAAAACTATTTCAGAAGTCCAAGTCCTTTCCCTTTTCCTTTTCACCAGCTATGAATGCAAAGCCATTTTCATTGCAAAGGCTAGCTGTGAGTGCCCCAGCCTCAACTTCAGCCCCTTTTCTCAGCTCTGAAAGAGACGTCTCCATTTCTAATTTATCTCTGAGTTTTAGCCTTCCTTACATTGCTTGCGAATGCCGCTTACTTTGAAGAGCCTTTCTAGCTAATTCCAAGGATCTTGATAGTTTCTGAGGACAGCTTTGTATGTTTGAATGGGATAATTTAAATGCTGTTCTTCATTCTTCATACTTCACACTGAAACTCTCTTCCCTGTCCCCTGGAGGGAACGTCTTTTACTTACATGAATTCAAAAAACCAAGTTTTGTTTTCCAGATTTGTAATTAATGCAGAATTATGCAAAGCAGAATAATAAATAATCTGGCTGTGAAGTGTATTCTTTTGTGAAAACATGAAGGACTTCAATGTCTAACTCTGCTTACAATTAGCACATCAGTGGGAAAACAGACCCTGTTATCAGTTAATGTACTGCAAATAAAGCTGTCCAGACCTTCAACAGCTTTCTAAGAGAACATTTAAGGTGAATTATCTCCAAGTTAATCAGAAGCTACAAAACTCTAAATGCTTACTTTACACTTGTAGTAAAAATCTAAATCCCAAATTTGGTGTTAACACAACTAGTAATGTGCAACTTGGAAATAAATGTTTTAAAAGATTCAGGATTAATGTAAAGTTCAAATTTAAGAAACTAAATGCAGAGCCTCCTGTACTACACACGCATGCCTTCTGCAAATTTTATGGGAGTAAGAACTGGAAAGAGATTTCAGAGTCCAGCTCCACACTTCATTTAGAAGGAAAACTCTCATGAAGAGTTTAAAGTTAAATCTGCACAGCAGAATGCTAAATAAAAATAATTTATTTTTTTTTAAAACTTGTCCTTAACAAGGCAAGTCATGATTTTATTTCTTGAATGCGTGAAGATCAGAATAGCCACAAGGTAACAAGGTACCAAAAGCCGCTAGGCTATTCCTAAAGTCACATTGCCTCAATAAGCCTTGCAAAAGGCATTACATATAACAATAGAGAAACAAGCTTCTGGTACTAAACTCATTTAGAAAATCATAGAATGGTCAGGGTTGGAAAGGACCTTAAGATCATCTAGTTCCAACCCCCCTACCATGGGCAGGGACACCTCACACTAAAACATGTTGCTCAAGTCTCTACCCAGCCTGGCCTTGAACACTGCCAGGGATGGAGCATTCATCGCTTCTTTGGGGAACCTGATGCAGTGCCTCACCACCCACACAGTAAAGAACTTCTTCTTTATACCTAGCCTGAACTTTCCCTGTTTAAGTTTGAACCCATATATATATATGGGTATATAAACAAATATATAATACATATAGTAAGAAGATTCTATTAATAATTGTTTACCAACATGCAATGATTTTCATGGATATAGCTGTGAGCCCGGGCAAATCTAACCCACACTGGCAATTTGCATTTTCTTTCTGCTCATATAACAGTGCTCTTCACAAGCAGCACACTGGTAGACAGGTGTATCAAAAAGTGTCAATATTAGGGGGGCTATTTAATGCATTTTTATGTGTACAGTGTATTAGATAATCATAAATGCCGAGGTATACAGCCTATAAAAGCACATATACACATTTATACACATTTATACACATATATGCAACCCACACATATATTACAATCAGGAAAAAGGTATAATAATAAGTGCTTCAAAACTTCCAGACTGCAGTGTAAGGAACAGGTTGCCTTATCAGTAACTTCTGCAATATCTTTCAGTGAAGTAACAACTCAGAAAAGCTGTTACGGTTTTCCATCAAATGTAAAAATCCTCTCATAAGGGTCATGATTTCCTCCATGTAGAAGTTTCTCCTTTTCATCAAGAGTTATTGCATAGCCAGGGTTTTCTCTTCAAGTCAAGAAGCAAGCTTTTTCACCTTTATATGAATTTTTTAATGACAAGTTACTCAGGAAGAATTTGCTAAGATGAAAATGAAGCATATCAAATAGTTCCTCTGCATAATAGTTACCTGGGCAGTTGTGACTGAGCAGAGTACAGGGTATAAATGTCGGGATAAATGGCCATATTCCTTCAAAGGTCAGCCAACACCTAAGTATGTCCTCATTTGGGAAAAGCATCTCTTTGGATCTAAATGTTTTGGATCTGGTCCATTTCTATATTCTGTCCTGCACTTACTCAAAAATGTCATCAATACCTATCGGAGTTCTGTCTAAAGATGTAGGAGAGATTCTTGATACATATTTGTGACCTTAAAAAGATATATATATTGTTTGGCTTCTGTTGATAGCCCCTGCCTTCAAAACTGTTTTTTACTGAAGCCAAACCACTTTGATCTGCAATTATACATTTTCTCAAATGATCTGGAAAATTTATGCATTATTGACAAAGCTAGAAGGAGAAGCATAGCAGGAAAACAACACTTCATTATTTTTATTTTCAAATGTATTCAATGAAGTTGAATACATATATAGCATAATGTAATTCCCACTTTACAAAGTTGACAATTCAATTTTTTTTTAAAGGACTTACTGCCCTTTGATAAATAGTTTAAGATGGGACATGCATGCTAATAGGAAAGTCAGTTTTGGGTGACAGTCATTTAACAGTGGAAAAGTGAGTTAACAAGAAACTTTATCGAAATGCTTGAAAAGACGGCATGTCCTTTCATATCCCTTTATCCAAATGCAACTTCTTTCTTCTGCAACCTCCCCTCCCATATCCACTTCCTAAACTTTAAACAGATTTTACACATTAAAATATTTAAAAATACAAATAATATACCCAATATAACACATTAATTATGATGAATGATAACGGGAAAGAAAATCTGGCGTAGTTGTCTATGTGGTAAGGATTCTTAACATGGAAGCAATCAAAGATGCAAAAAAGTCTTTTCATTACTGACATCAGTGAAGTGTACCCACTGTGTTTACTTCTCTCCCTTTTTCCGTCAGTGTTGGTTTTGCTGCTTCTGTTTGAATCGATCTTGTTTATATTGTCAGGGGTACTGCAACTGTTAGTGACTGCTGCCAAGACTCCATTCCTCTCTTCTTCAGCCTCTTCATCCTCATCCTTATAGGAAACAAAATAGCAGGTACTTAAGTGTGTGTTTCATTGCCTATTTATTTTAGATCTACAGCAAATAATAGGGGGTTTCTGATGACAACTCCTGTAGCTTGCTCCCTGATTTCAAGGGTGATCACCTATGCACACCACAGAGCTCCTTTCAGCTTTCAAAGCCTCCATTTACAGGAAAAATGTTGACCTAAACAACGTCTTACTGCAAAAGCTTTCCTAGGACTGTAAAGCAAAGCTAGATTTGTTCACCTATGGCCCACTAAGCTTTACTTAACTCTGCAGCAAATTCATGAAATGCACAACATTAAGCTGTCTTCTGCTCAGGGGAAATACCGGCAAAGGCCAATGTCTAGAACATGGGTAAAGCAAAGCCCAATCTGAAAATGGAGAAGGTGGGGTAGCTGCCAGACCACCTAGTCAAGCTGGCTGCACCCCAAATCAAGCACTCCAGAATACAAGATACTTTCCTTCTGTGCAGTTAGCTACTCTATTCCTAGGGTTTTGTGATGAAAATCCAATCACTTAAAAAAAAAAAAAAAAGGCACAAAAAAAGAAGATCATAAAGATGTAATTCAGTACTAAATAGCTCATGTATTTTCTTTCAAGCCCTGAAACTCATGCTTTAAGTTCAAAGTTACATAAAGGTTAAGCATGTTTTTAAGTGCTTCAATGCATCAAGACAGCTCTTTAGAGACTTCTGTATAAGCCTTCTGGTGGGTTTTGTTGATTAGAAATGGCCCAGAGCCATGAAGTTCATGTATGAAATCTTCACTCTTTGAAGTCAGCGGTTTTACTGTTACTGACTCAGAGGACACAGGATTAGACATCAGCTGCAGCTTCAGCTCTAAACATAAACTTTCAAGAAATTTCTGGAGTATTTAGTTTTGTTTGGGATACTGTAGAGACACCAGCAGATCCAAAGCTACAAAGGTTGGCTCCAAGTATGTATCTAAACTAAATCTAAATTTGTACAGTTGGAGGAGGGGGCATTTTAATTCAAGGAGGTGTCACATAATTTTAATTTTCTCCAAATCAGTGAGTGGTGCATAAGTAGAAAAAGGCTAAAAAATTATTTGTGAAACGTGGAATGCAGAATCTCTTTCTTCTGACCAATCTGCTTTTTCCATTTACATCATGAGACTAGACAAAAACTTTAGAAAAGTTGAGATGTACAGCCCTATGTATAGCCACACAAAAAGCTCATTTAGAAATATCCCAGCTATTAAAGTCAAAGAAAGCTCATTAAGCCACCTGAGTAATCTCCATGCCAGTGCAGAATTGCTCTTCTGCCCAGGGTACTCGTAGATGGCACAGTTCTTGAGCCTTTCATCATTTAAAATTAGCAACATCTTTGAAAATTGGACAATGCCCTCAGACTGCTGTGAATCAGTGAAACCGAACAGATGGAGCTAGAAAAATAGATTATTACTGCTTTTCACTTTCAATTTGCCAAAAAAAAAAACCAGTATATTTTATTTGAGAGAGAAAAATGTAGCTCAACACAACGTATCATCCTAAAATTACTCTTGACTACAAAACCTTGTTCATCCTCTACCTAGCCTCCCACAGCTATGTGAGCATTTTGAAACCAAAGGCCAGGATAACAATCTGCCTATAAACCATTAAGAGGATCAATCCATAAAATTCCATTCTGAACCTTAAACAGTCTCCAGGGTAGTACTAAATCTCAAACTTGGAGTTTTACTTGGGGCCTACCTCTGTTACAAATACCTAGCTCTTCTGCTTCAAAAACTTCACGCAGCTGAGGGAAGCGCTGAGGATGGCAGAGAAGCCTTTGTCAGCAATGCCTAGCACTTGAAACAAGGCACCAGAGTGACAGCCTAATGAATGCACTCAGCGCTTCAAAAGTTAATAAAAAAAAGAAACCTGTCAGAAGAGTCCTGACTTCTTTTTCCCCTGTTCTCATTTTTTTAAGAAAAGGAAAAAAGAGCAAAACAAAATCTATATTTCAGAAACTACAGGATTTGGGGTATTATTCAGCGTAAGAGTCTATTTGTCTCTCAGGTAGGCCTGGCTAAAAGATGTGCAGAATTAGTTTTACTGCAGAGCATGAAAGGACATTGCGTACGTGCCATTTTTCTTTTCACACAACCTCCTGATTCACAGGAGGCTGACCTTTATTAGGTTGTTCTTAACTCCCTTCAACTTCCCAAGAGGCAGTTAGTACTTAAGCAGAAAATACCGTACATGGTGTATATGTACTTGATTCTGTTTACAGTGTTACAAAGCAGGGCTCTCGCCAAACAGAGATAAATTTACAGCAAAAGTGCTGTATCACGTTGTGTGAGAAGGAGAAAAGTAGTCTTGAGGAGAACTACAACTGTTAGATTATAAAAACCCGCAGTTTTATAAACCTGGGCTATCAAGGGACTTTTCTAACTCACTATGGAGAACTGAATGTGATAAAAGACTAGGCTGGCTTTCATTATTAAAAATAATAATAATAATTTGTGTTGCAGGTGTTCAACTATGGCTCTAATTTTAAGTGTCATACTAAGTTTTCCCTGGCTTCCAGCTGACAGTGAAAAACTGGCAACTGGCACTAAGGAGGGCTCTGTCAGAATACCAAATTGGTAACATCCATGAAATGTACGGTACCTCACCTGAAAAGCACTGTATGTGGCACCTGCAACTATGGCTGCTGTTCATAGTAACTGAAGTGTTTGCTGACATCCAACAGCCAACAGAATTGAGGAAAGTTGTCACTTCCATGGAACAGTAAAGGTGCTCAAGCTTAAAAATATTTCAACCTAGAGTGTTGCCCACCTGGAGCTTACTCAGTGTTCATACAGGCTGCACACTGCTTGCACAGAAATGCCACATTGGCTGAACACTGCCCTTTATAACCTGGTTTTCAGTTTTCAAACCTTTCTCCTTTCTGACCAAAAGGCAGAGGTTTAGGTGAAAGACAGATGAAGACCAAGAAGGAATCCTCTGATTTTTAAGAGGGCACAATTCACACCTTGGCAATACTAGGGAATAACTCAGGATTCTGGAGACGCAGCTTTTCTGTTTAATAAGTCTGAGATGCATTTGATGTGAATGGAATATTCTGCCTGACTTTCCTTTCAGCAGGTGGTTCCTCTGCTTTTGCCATTAGCTTTGAAGCTGTCTCTCTGGGTTCTGGTTAACATGATATGAGACACTGCAAGAGTGTGGATATGATGAGCACTTTCACCAGTTTATATTCAAAACCAGAGATCCCAAGGGCTTCAAAGGGACCTGATATGCCAGAGCCCAATTGCTTTAATGAGCAAACCAGAAAGCAAACCAGTACAATTCCTGTATAAGCCAGAGGTTACATTTATTTACATAATTCTGAGTGCAAATTCTGTATCAGCTCACGTATGAGAATAACAAACTGGGAAGTGAGATTTCCAATTAACCTGTGTCTACAAAAGAATACAATAATGAGGAAAACATATGGTGATAATACGCAGAAATTGTTAAGCACCTGCTAGACAATGACATGAGATTTTATATGGTACTTCTGTCCTTGTGATAGTCTGCTTTTCTACAGTGAGAAATAAGAAATGCAAGTCAGGTGTGCTCTCCATGGCACCCTCCTCAGTAAGCAATGCTTGTCCTTGGGTACAGCAGGAAAATGGCATGACAGGCATTTTCCTTATTCTGCAGTGTCTTGAGTTGATCTCAGACAAACCAACTGCTCCTTCCCTTATACACTTGTGTTTGTGTGGTCAGGGACTAGCTTGCTCACTCGTGATGCACAGCAGAAGGCTGCAAACATGCCTGAAGTAACAGACCATTCCTTCCAGTCATTAAGTCCTTCACAAAAGCATAGCCTTAAGCCTTTCTTCCTTCCTCATTTTAGAGCTGTACCTCAACTTATTTCTATGCACATCTTTCAAATCCACAAGTTCCCATGTCTTCCCCATCTGCAAGCACTACCACCTGTGACCCAGATGAAAGGGAATCTGACACAGGTAGGTGAAGCAAGGACAGTTTTAAGTGCCCTTCACAGATCTGAAGATGCTTAATCATCCAAGCACTTTCTTACCCAAACCTCCAATAAGTTGCCTTTCTTGGTTCTTTTTTTCTGCTGTATGAGCAAAATGACAACCATTTACTTCACAAGATGGATATGCTCAGAGGGAATTATCACTGATGCTACCTTGCCAAGAAAAATTACTTTCAGGCTTTCCACTCAAACCCTCATTCAAAACGAGTGTTTGCCCATTTGCAGATATTGCCCCATCAGATGATGTCTTTTAAAATCCACGGGGGGGAGGGGGGGTAGCTTTGTGTTCTTTTTTCAGTACTTCTCCACACACCTAGATTTAATGACAGACCATCCAAACAGCCAAACCCCCATATTAACTGTTGAACTACCTAGCTATTAAAAAAAACAAACCAGACAAAAAAAAAAAACAAACAAAACAAATGATTGTCATTGTTTTTAGGCTTCTCCACTTGGTTTGAACTTAATATCCTGTTTCTTGAACCTACTGAAGAGCTTTGCTTAGGCATTTGTGATGTTCTGTTATAGACTGGCCTAAATAGTTAACAGTCTTTCTTCTTCTGGCCATTTATCCACACAGGCTCAACCACACTTCTTTCTGCCTTTTTTTCCTGTTATTCTCACTTTCTATGTTTTAATTTATCTACTCATCCAGAAATTTCATAAGCTGCTTAATTTTTTTTCCTATCATGCATACTAGATTCTGTCCCATCATTAAAAACCGCAAGACAATCAGCTTCCAATTTGTGATTTCTTTTTCACTGCTTACGTGAAAACTAAACACTGAAGATGGAAGATGTGACAAAACTTCTTCATGAACCTTTCCTGATTATTTCAGCAAGATGACAGCCACCAGGCCCAAAAATGCCTATGTTGATTTGATCCCTTTTTATTTTAAGTCTATTTCACAGTCTCTCACGGTTGTGAGAAGCTCATTAGAGCAGCAAAAAGTGCTGCTATAATAATGATGCAGAACAGAAAGTGACTCCCAGTCTGAGCTTCAGCTGCAGATGTTGAAAGAGGAGGTGTAAGCTGAAGGCTATATACACTTAATAACTGAGGCTGCCTGCTAGTAAACTGACCCATGTACCACGCATGCACAGAAGGTTTCATAAACAGAATGTGATATTGTTTTTTTCCTTTTTTGCTGCATTACAATAAGACTAAATCACTAATCTCATTCTAATATTTAAACTGTAAATGCATGCCATTGCGGGGAAGACAACAACTGCTTGTGATTTTTGCGAAACATCTAGCACATCATTTGATAAATGGCCATAAAGTCCATACCCAAAGAAAAAATCATTATGGAAAGGTGCATCAGTTTGATCTCTTCTAAAAAGGTCCAGTTATACAGCTATTTTTTCTTAAGGATATTCTGATTTCACTGCCCTTATTCCAAAATAGAAAATTGCTTAAATATATTTACCATTAGTGCTAAGATAAATCATTCTGTTTAGCAGGTATCACTGAAGTCTGTTTTGCAGGATAACAATAAAAAAAATTAAAATACCTTTGGAACTTCCTTTGAACTGAGTCGATGCAAAGTGCAGAAATGAGCCACTGCATACTCTAACAGTGCTCCAAAGATGAAACTGAAGCAGATACCAAGGTAGACATCAATTGCCTTAATAAAGCAATTAGCGTTTGGGAGTGAAGTCCTGGCTCCCATCATCAGTGTTGTCATAGTCAGTACTGTGGTAACACCTGTGGAATGCAAAAAATACGGCTCCTGATAAAACACAGATACCAATGAGGGCCTCTACTGCAAGGGCCCTCTGCAAGCCAGTTTTGGCTCTCTGAACATCTAGTATGCCACAGCAATTAATGTGTCATGCTTTGGAAAGTAGACTTTCAAATGAACTTGTGATTCTCAAGTTAAATGCTTAAAAACACTTATGAGAAGTGTTTGTAAAGCTGAGAAGACTGGAAATTAAAATGAGAGATATTTTGGTGTCATAGAATGTATATTTATGATTAACACATTACTACTGGAATACTGCGCAAATGCTCCCTTGAAAATATTCAGTTATGATTTTGCTCAATGCAGTTGCCCACCTGATGTGAAATCTTTCTTTCTTCTTTCTCCTCTATTCTGTAGGAAGTTTTTTCCCCACCCCATCTGCAATCTGATCAAAACTGATTTGCACTATTTCCCTTTCAGAATATCCTTTATTTGAAATTAATTATAATTAATCTCTTTTAATTCTCTTATTATGAATCTGTTAATTAGTATGTATCATTAAACCTCACAAAAGTCTCACAATTCTGTCTCTGCATACCATGTGGTTGAATATGTTGAAATTATTTCCAAAATGGCTGAGGTTTTTTTTCCTTTGCTTTCAGCAGCCTCCCCTGCCTCTAAATCTCCTGTAGTTCCTGAAGACATTTTCTTAGGAAAAGAATAGCAAGGCTTTAAGGGGAGTCTTCAGGATGTACTGCAGATGACAAACTAGAAAACTAATTCCATAAAACTCAAGCATTTGCAACATTTGAAGTGGATGCCATGTATATGCAATAAAGAAAGCATCTTAATGATCCAACTCTTGGTTTGGTTTGCTGTGTTTTATCATCAGTTTCTCACCTATGCAGATTCTGGCTGGAACTGATGACTGGCTTATCCAAAATGATACCCAGGAGAGCACAACCAACAGGATTGATGGCACATATGTCTCTAGTATGAAATACAAGATGTTTCTCTTCAGTTCAAAGTGAAACACTAGTTTTGGGTAACGTCCTGTGGAAAGAGCAGGAAAAAAAATATTGTGAAAGTGCAATTCATTAAAAGTTCTTTAAATTACCAACCTGTACTACTTTTGTGCACTACAATGCTGGAAAAGCCTAACAAACAAGCTTGAAAAAAACACAGCTCTGAAAAATTCTATCATGAAGACTATAAATTGAACTGACAGATAAAATCAAAATATATAGCACCCAGTCACGATATCCAGAGTTTCATTAAAGACACCTTGAACTGGAAATTCAGTGAGAATTAGTGAAGGCAAAATAAATTCACCAATGTGTGGAAAGGATGTTTCATTATATAACACAAGGCAAGGAAATTTGAAATCACTTATGTATTTAGATGTGGCTATTCATAAAGAATGAGCTACTATATAAACTAGCATAAAAGCAACTGTCATTTCATGAAGTTAGCATGGGTCCTTACTTTTAACTGCTTCACATCTCTAGTTTATTTTGCTTTTCTTTTCATTTACTATTGCTCAAGAAGTGGCTTAAAGGTACCTTCTCTGATACTGCTGACCTACCTCTTACATTTTACTTAAAGCCAAACAATATCTTTGCATCTTCACTATCTGTTTTTTATTTTACATGAGTGCATGAGTGCATTGAAGTATTTGTGTTGGTCTGAGCAGTATCACTGTTCTGGCTTCTGAGTGAGTGATTTCCAGAAGATGAATATTTGGGCTCACAGAGTCAAATATGGAATTGGGTTTAATAAGGGGACAGCACACTGGTAAGCAAAGCCTTTGTTATCCAGCTCAGTAACTGAGCAAAATTTGGCTATGTTTGGGCAGCAGAAGCACAGGATCTGAAACTGTTACCAGTAAAACAGATCACAGTAAGGAAAAAGCTTGCTTTGTGCTAACTTAAATGCAATTAAAAACTACTTAATCTGAAGTTCCCAGTTCAAAATTAAGTGTTAAAGTGTTTGGTTTTAATGACATCAGTTTTAACAACATTCACACCAGATTATCAGTGAGATCTTGAAAACACTGTCGTCAGACAGCTTTGCCTTCGTCTGTATTAATCCAACAGATTATGGTCTGCAGGACCCATGCTCATTTCCAATGCTGCATGCTGTGAGACAGAACAGAACTATGGAATGGTGAATGCACTTTAGAAACAACAATATATGATCTGACAGCCTATTTGTGCATCCCTTAGGTGCACTGTGAGACATCAAGTCAAATAAAAGTACTTTTAAAAGCTTGAAGTGCAAGTAACAGATGCCAAGAAACATCTTATTGCTCCCAGGCTAGCAAATGGATGGTTAAATTTCCATGTTTAAAAGTATTGTATAAATTGCATTGAGGGAACAACAAGGTTTCACAGGATTCTTAAAACCAGAAAGAATTGACTATGTAGTCTGACTCTAATCACGGGCATTTATATTTCCCCAATTATGCCTTGCTTTGAACTCAATCACTTTGGTTGGAACAGAATTCACCTTTCACACAGACATCTATACTTAATCTGAGGATATCCAGATATGCAGCATCCACCATTTCTCTAAGTAAATCATTCTGTGTGTTAAAAATTAATGCCTAATTTCTCAGCTGACTTCAGTTTTCTGCTGCATTGACTCTGCCTCTTCACTACTGGACTAAATAGTCCTTTGGTAGTCAGTTCTTTCTCCTTCTGAATGTACAAATACACTGTATTTAGGATTCCTCTTTAAGTTCAACATAGTGAGTTCCCCAAGTTTCTGACTGATAGAAAGAAAGATAATAAGATGGACAGTAGACTTTATCTCCATGAGGCAGGAGGGACAAAGATGATTTACACCTTTATCATAATTTTTATGTGAAAAGAGAAACATTACATTACTGTACCTCTATCAACTGTGACTCTATCAATACTGTGATTTTTACCAATACAGTTGTTTCAGTAAAAGGCATTTTGCCCACCAAAATTGATTTTAAATGTAAGCAGACCAAAGTAAGGCACTCAAAATTTAGGACATGAAAAACTTACAGTTCACTGTGCAACATTATTTCTGCTTCTGTCTGCATTCATCCTTGCACTAAATCAAGCACTACCACTGTGAAAAAAAAAAACCTGTCTGTACCATGAAAGACTGTAGCATAAAGCATAATTAGAGAAAGAGAATTAGGGTTGTACAGACAATGGTAAATCTGTGGCTTCCTAGTATGCAAGAGCAATCATTTAAAACCTTATTAAAAACTGTTAAGGATTTTATGAATTTTGCTTGCAGTCTTCTAGAATGCTATTTAACTAGAACTCAAAGCAGATACCTTAAAATAGAAACAGACAATTTTCTCTGCAGTGTTTGTACTGTCATTACTGCAGCACAGTAGACGCCAGCACACAGAAGGACAATGGCGCAGTCACTGCAAGTGAGGGAAGGCTGTCAACCCAGAGGTCAGGTGAGATTACAGAGGGTGCAAACCATCAACAATCCTCCACAAAAGTTGTCTTCTGTTTCTGTGCTGACCATAGGGCAAGATGTGGTTCCATGTACCCAGCAAAGGGGAGTGAAGAGACTGGACTATGCTTCCTGCAGAGTACCACAGGTACCTGGGGGTTTCTGTGGTTCAGCCTTCGAGCTTATCTTTAAGGAAAACTCTGAAATAGCTGATACACAATAGCCGTGCAGAAATACCGTCTCCTCATTAGCATACAGTCACCTTTGTATAAAAGCCAAGTGTGTTCATGGGAAGATAGTTCAAAATATCAAACATTTTGCCACTTTGCTGCAATTTCCAAGTGTAGACAAGCTCTTTGAAAGTTCCTGTGTTTTTTCGTGTTATTTTTCCTGATGCCAGAAATTTCTGAAGTAATGTGTGAATAACAAAGAGAAATAGAGATGTAACAGCTTATAGCTGAGTGGTTTTTTGGGGGAACAAAGAAAAGTCATTTCTCTAACCTTAAGGCTTTCTGCAGAATCCAAAGACACATCATGGATATGATGATAATAATAGCATCAGCATTTCTCTAGATTTCAGAAGACCTTTTAAAAAGGAAATTTTGAAGCAACCTATATATAGAATTCATATGAACTTCTGTAATAAACTGAAGGAAGTAGCAATCAAGAAAGAGTATGCAATACATACACCTTGCTAAAGAAATGAGCAGTGGGACAAAATGAACATAAGGAAGTATTACAGTCCTTTTTTCACTTACACTCCACAGGTACCAAAAGTTACCATCTTTAAAAAGAAACAAAATTGATACTCCTGTTACATGAGTTGCATATGAGATCGTAATCTCATTGCCTTTGACATGCACATTTGAGACTATGCTGCCATCAGCGAGATCAAAAGTGAAATAGGTTCATGTAATCTTAGTCCTGGCTTTACTATAGTTAAGTACAGCTCAAGTTGACTCCTCAAAACTGTCAAGTTTACCCCTTGCTTGAGTCTTATTAACAACAAAGTATTGCATAGAATCATAGAATCACAGATTGGAGGGGACCTCAAAGATCATCTGGTCCCACCTTTCTAGGCAAGCAAGAAGATGCTTTTTCCTGTAAGTTTCTGGCCTTCGATGGATGTCACCTCAGTGTGCGACAGCTCTGATTTCAATTTGATAATGTGATGGAAATAATCACTGTGCAAATAGCTATCTATGAAGCAAAGGCATAATGTTAGCACTTACCCGCTTACGAAGTATCAAATTACTGTTTCTCAGATGAATCTGAACTTAAATGACTGACAGTATATATACACTACACCTACTAGAAGGTAAGCTATTCTACTTATGACCTACTTAGGTCACCCCACAGCAAAAGAAGATTAAGCTGAGTTACTTGGGCTTTACAGAATTTACTAGATGGCAGAAGTACAAACTGGACAGTAGCTCTAGCTTGTACATAAGGAACAAATCTAGATAGCAGTCACAGTCTGCATACCTACCCCAACTCACAGTACTAAAGTAGACATGAAAGAAAGTGAATTTCAGTTGGTTCCAATTGGCTACTTTTGTTTCAGTATCATAAAAATTATAACAGCATAGACTTTACCAGTAGCTGAGCAGGTGCTGTCCAGGTCTAAAATAGATCTTTCTGAAAGCAAGAAAAGCTAATGTATTCCTCTTTATAACTTGCCTTTGAAGTTTGGATTTTGGCTTCTAAAAACAGCATCCTCATTTACAGCACTGCCTATCTGAAACTTCGTATAGATCTTGCCATAATACTGGTAACTTTATTAACACTATTACTGCACTGCCCGAGAAATTGATATAGACCTAAACAAACAGGCTTCCTTATCACCCTAGGTCATCCATTTTTTTATTATCCCATTTTTCTATGACATCTCTTCCTGGCTGATGGCAGGACACTGCATCTCTGCTCTTTCCTGCTGCCCTCTGATCAGCAAATGGTCACAACAGAGGCACCTGAATGAAGGACTGATGCTGTATAAACGCTGTCAGCAGTTCCTAACTTCCACTCTAGTGTTACAGGATGGGAGCATCTTCCCCACAGTTACTTCCTGTGGACTTTTTGATGAACTCTACTCTAGTAAAAGACTGCTCCACATCACTCTTTATGTAAGAAGCACTTTGGTATCCTGCACATGGATGTGCAGTCAGGCACAAAGGCACATTCTTCTCTATCATGAAATATGCATGCTAACCCCTTGGGTGCCAGATAAAATGTGTGATGTACATCTCACACAAGTGCGTCAGTGTAACTCTACCAAAGCATCATCATCTTCTCTTCTTAGACCTTTTAAGGGCACAGTACAGGAAAGCTTTAAATAGAATTCTACTGCTTTAACTATGTGCTGAAAATCTTGCTTTCAGTATGCAATCTTTTACTGCTTGTTCATTTACAAAGGAATGAGTAGTGTCCTGCTTTTACCCAACAAATAAGTTGTGCAACTGAAGTGCAATTCTCTGACTGATGCAGTAAGCTAAGGCTGTCAATATACCTTGATTGAAAAGGATGATTATTATCTAATAAACCTCCTGAGCCTTGGGAAACTGCAGATAGGCCTCTAGGACAAAACAAGGTAATGCCTGTATTTCAAGAGAAAGAGACTGTGACTGATGAATACACACTCTGTGTAGGAGTCTGTTATATTTATACACTCTTATACACCCTTTATAGTTTATATATATTTTGTATACCTTTTGATTTTCAGTTCACTAATTATAAACTAGAGCAACTCACTACTGGCTTAGTACTGCCCCCACCTGAGAAGCAAATAACGTGGAGTGGCCAGGGGCCAAAACAGTGTCAGCACTGCACAGCTAAGCAAGGTCTGATGGCCTCTAGCTCAAGGAGGCTAAAGCAGGATTCGTGATAGATATCAAAACCCTGGCAGTGACTGCAGATAAGGAACAGCAGCCAGTTCCCTTTGCCTTTTCAAGAGGACAAATGTCTTGTCTTTTGTGCATCAAGCAGCAGAGACTGACTTTATGCTTCTGTCTCTTCTTTCCCTCTTTCTGCCAAAATAATACCATCTGACTATGTCATTTTGCTGCCTTCACGGTTCTCTAAGTGGGGATGTGCACCAAGAGCCCTGACTACTTGACGTAACTCTCCCTGCCTTCTGGCTGAAGACTCAGTGTTAGACTAGACACGAGCAAGCTGAGCCTCTTCATTCCTGCTGCTGCTGAATACTTCCAGTAGTGAAAGCAAGACTTCAGGAAATTTGCAGACCAGAAGAAAAGCCATCAACAGCCAATTAGTCTCAAGTATTAAATTACATTTTTCCTTCTTTCCCCAATTAAAAAGGTTAACTGAGATTAATTAGCTATCACTTGCTTTGAAAACAGGAACATTTATTGAGTGGGAATACATGGGGTCTGCCCAGTGCCCGGTACTGCTCACTGACAAACACGATGACATACCAGGAGTCTTTTAAGAGAAGAGTGTTACCACATTAGAGAACAGGATTCGAATACAAAATTCTCCCAACAACTACCAAAAACAACCTGAGTAAAACAAGACGCAATTCAACAAAAGCAAGTCCGAAGTCCTACACTCAGCTAGGGATTACCAGCTCCCCAAACAGAGTACAGGGAATATGTAGCTACAGGGCAATAAAGGAGGTGGAGTATTAGAAGGAATCACAATATGAACAAGGTCAAAAAAAAAAAAATTCCTGCAAGAAAGCAAATAACCCAGAATGGATAAAGAGGAACAGAGTTCATCAAATGCATGAAGTGAACTCTTCACACCTTGGAGGACATCTGATGGGAACAGGATACCCAGTTTTGGGTGCTGCATGTCAGCAAAGATAAGAATAATACCATGAGAGACCAACAGCAAAGACAGGAGACCTAGAAAGCTGGCTATATATATTAAAAAGAGGGAAATTGTTGATGAAAAGAAAGATATATTTGTCTTGAAACAGTGAAAGACCTGCTGAAAAATAACAAGAAATTTGGCTTCCATATCCACATAATGGGTTTGAAATGCAGCAAGGGAGATCAAGATTAGACATGAGGAAAATATGCATGTAATAATCACCAGGAAAAAAAAAAATCATCTGGGGAGGTTGTGAAGGAGACAGTTTAGAGGTTTGACTAACATACTCCTTGAAACATCTGTCAGGAAGTAGGCTGTAGATATATATGACCTTGCCTTGCAACATGAGAAGAGATTAAATGAATTCTTAGAGTATGTTTCAGCGTTATTGCTATGATTATTTACACAAAAAGCTAAATTTTAACCATCTTTTGTTGCTTTTATATTTTTCCAATAGGAAAGCTTTTTTATACCACTATTTATTACTCTGGGAATGCAGGTGGTGGTGGCTACACAGCTAAAATAAAAACCCAGCACCCATGGGTCTGGGGTCCAAGAGCAGTCAGAATAAGGACTGTAGATGGAGACATGTAGAAAATGGTTCTAACAATTAATTTGCCCATGTCCAAAATGAAATTGGTCTGCAGCAAAACAAAATCAACACCAAACCATAGTCAGCAACCTAGCTAACATTATTCAAAGTGACTTACTATTATGTGGTTACAACAATGTGATTACTATTCTGTTGATACATGCTTTTCTACAAACAAGATTAATCCACAACGCCCTTTTCTTAAATTTAGTGAAGTTACTTATGCAGGAATTTTGCTGACTACATTTTAAATTTGGCTGTCAGTGGCTGTACGTGAACTTAGGTTTTGCACTGTTGTACAATATTGCACTTGCACAGCATCTGTACTGTTTGTTCAAGTTCACAGAGTATCAAATCCTGATTGCTTTTTTTGCTGTGTTAGGAAATCCTACACACAGTTCTCTTCTATCTTTATCTGTAGCTTTTTGAATTGCAATTGTTATAAATAACTGTTATTTATAATGTAACTTATTTATAAAGTAAGGAAATGCAAAACATCATTTTTCATTTCAAAACTGCATCGTTCCATAACCTGGTTGTTTTTTTCTTTTAATATGGGCCTCAGTAGGCACTGCTTTCATTAAAAAAAAAGAAAATAAAAATTGTAGGAAATAGAACCTAATACATAATGACTCAATAGAAAATTAAAAGGATTATGAGATTTCATTTTAAAAGTACTGCACAGCATTTGAGAACACGGCATTCTTGAACAGGAGATTTGAAACAAGCAGGTGTGGGAAATTTTAATCTAATTAAGTTACATTAAGTTAAAATCTATAATTACAAGAAAAAGTGGCTTTTGACTTTATACATATGATTCCTGCCAACATAAATGGAGGAAGACAGCATCATTTACTGAACAGACAAACACAGTTCATCCTATAATGTCCCTTCAGTTATAACTGGAAATTGCTTTTAGTCTATTTGGTAAAAAAATAATAGAAGGTTTTTTGGCTTTAGAGTCTGGACTCTGTGACAGGAGATAGTGAGAATTAAGCAGGTTTTCTCTTCCTATTTTCCTGTAAAGTGAACAGGTCCTAATACCCTTCTGGGCACAACAGCTGTAAATGATGATTCTCCTTTGATTGAACCTGATGCTGCTTACCCAGAAGCTGTAAAGAGGAGGAAGGCAAGAAGATGTCACTTATTTAAGGAGCAAGATACTTTGCCATCCTGGAGCCTGCTAATATGCATTTCATTTCTGTTTTTATATCTATTTAGAGAACTTTGACTTTTAGCCTGAATTAATACCTGAAATTAGATCACAAAGTTTCTCTGTTTGCATTATTAAAGCAGAATTACCCAGTAATGGAAGAGAGAAACTATATTCCTGTGATTCAGAATTAGTAACATATCCTGATGAAACTACAGGTTTTAAGGATATGTGTGTGTCTTCATTTAAAGAACACCAGTTGGCTTGTTGACTTCAGCAGAAGAGAAACTGAGTAGGCAGTGAATAGCAGCAATGAAAGACCCAAGAGTAACACAAAGAGCATGAAGCAGGTTCGGCAGGTCTTGAACTCTCTGAAAGCCCTTTTGAAAACTCTGGGAAATAAACAGAAGCAGACTTTTTCCTGAGGGTAAGTCTGGTGTTAGAGGAAACTTCCTACAGTGGTTTTCTAAGATCAGCAAAAGAACAGGTCTGAGGAAATGCTTCTGACCCTTCCCTGGGCTGGACAGAGGCTGCTGCAGATAAAGAGCAACTCCTACATGGATAGCAAGCACTACCCATGAAAACCAACCTCTTCCAGTTGCTCAAGCACCCAGCACATTCACAGAAATTTCCATGAGTGAATAGAGGCATTTAACTTCCCTAATAAAGCCAGAATGGCTGTTTCCAGGAGGCTGGAAACTGTTCTGAACTGGGTACCCAGAGTTCCCCATCTCTCTTCAATTTAAATGACCAATTTACAGACTCTTCTTCCTTCACAAGAACTCTGGCTTTACACAGAAACAGTAGTAAATGTTTTGTTTATCCTTCTTTAGGTAATGTGTACCCTCCAAGAAATGCTCAAAAACTCTCAATCTTTAGATTAGCTTGGTCTCTGCTGGTAGCAACTGAAAAAGTATTTACAGTTTCAAGATTACAACCTAGTAGAAAATTAAAACTGTCAAATCCTAAGAGAAAGCCATGTGCTCAGTTCCGTAATGCTGCTCCATTTCCAGAGCCATTTTCCAAACTGTACCTAGAAAGTGTTATAAGGGTGTTCTTACCTGTCTCATATACTGCTTCAGACACAGATGTGAAGTGGTCTTCTACTGTGTATTGTGCCAGTTGGAGTGTGTCCAAACCTCGAACTGAATCATTTCCTCTAGTCCAGTAAAACATGACATCATTGATGTTATAACCCCCTGTAAGTGACACGCAAGCCAAAAAAACGTGTTTATTTTACACAATAATTTGTGTTGAGCACACTTATGGTTCAGCTGTTTCTTATTTGTCTGCCTGAAAGTACAATTAGACATAAACAATGACGGGGTTTGGCAGAGTGTAATGACTGTTTGCCACAAAACTCCCACTAAAATGTGAAGTCTTATAATTTAAAAGCTGACATTTTGGAGGTGGTCTTTTTTGTATCTTTTATTCTAGTATAAATGACAAACTAATAAAAGAGATTAGTACCACATGGTATTCTCAAGACAAAAGCTCTTAAGCTTTAAAGAAATAAAGCTTTCATAAATTACAGCACTGCCAGCATTTGAACCAAACATTAAGTGTACTCTTTGCTGCTTCCCAGGATGCTGTTTCTTGATGCAGTGCATTTGGTCCCCATTCCCAAAGAAATGAAGGCGTGAGGAGAGCAGCAGCACTGCTGCGTGCAGGCACTGTGCTCTGAACTGGGCTTGGGTCATCACTTGGAACTACATTTTAGCTTAGGAGCTTGGATGCTTCCCAAGGACACCGGTTTAGATGCTTGCGTTTCTGCAGGCTCAACAGCGTGGCACACTTCAGGGGCCCCAGGAGATATCCTCTTAACCTTCAAGTAGTAATTAGAAGCTGAGACGGGACATGAATCATCTATCAGAAGGCAACTGTATTTTGCACACGCTTGTCAATATGCAGCACAATCATAGCTAAAATACCTCCGTGGCTTTTTCCCATTATATTAAAAGGCAGGCAATTTTCAGACTAGTGTATATGATTAATTCAAGATTATGTTAATGCAATTTACATGTTAACAGGGAGCATCTGAACAGCTTTTCCTTTAGCTTACTTTGATCAATCATTCCTGTATTTGACAGACTTATATTGTGCAAGTGCTAAGCTTAGGAGATAGAAACATGAGCAGATGATTATTTTTAGACTTCAGCCAATTGTAAGCAAATTACAGTGAGAAAAGAATGTAATACATTGCACAAGGGTATATGCTGCAAAAGGAACAAAACGCTAGAATCACAGAAAAGAAGATGCATTAAAATAAAAATGACAGTTTAATATTTTCAAGTTAATGGCTTTGCTTCTTGCAATGACAAAAAAGGACCTGATTTCCTACAGCCATTTAATGCAGGAAAAACAGGAGTTCAGAAATTTCATCTCAAGGAAACACTGTGCTCGTTGCCTATTAAAGTGACAATATCAACTGGAAGTGCTCTCTCCCTGATGACTCTTTAAATGCATATATTGTTTTCACTATCACTGGCAGTTTTCTGAAAAGGTATCATGACCAGGAACCTCTGTTCACCTTATCATATATATATATATATATATATATATATATATATATAGCAATTAAAGTTAAAATACTGTTGTGTCAAAAGACTAAGCCAAAAGTATGCGTATCCAAGCTGAGTTTTCAATTCCCTAAAACCACATGCTGGGAAATCTCTCAGATTTGGGAGACAAAAAATAAAAGTAACATTTCCTACAAACAAATGATTGCATTGTCCTCAATCAAAACAAAAAGGTTCATAGAAACAGTTTTTATGCATGATTTCAGGCATGGATTCGTTTTACTTTCCCTTAGTATAAATGAACTGCAGATATTTAAATAAAGCCTAAAGAACTAGAGAGCACCACAGTAAATATTTATTTTACCAGATATTCAGTCTTCCAAATTGTGTGAGATGGGAAAGGCGATAACAAGGATATCCCCAAATGGAGGTTGCTTTGATTTAATAGAGCCAATTTTGTTCCAGATTATTTTGATTAGTTGAACAATAGTAGGTTTTTCCTATGAAAATTAATTGAAAATACTAATTCCAAAGCTCTATTTGTGAAAGATTTTCTTGGGAGAGTCTTCCCAATAGTCAGTAAAGTTAAACAGCACAGTGCAAAGTTACTCTTTATTCAGGGGATTAATATTTTACTAATTATAAAATGTTTTTAAAGTTAATAGAGACAAAATCCTTAAGCTGTGTTATTTGGCTTTTACAAATAATCTCCATTCTCTTTATATGACACTGAGTTTTTATTCTAACTAATTCCTCAAGCCCAAAATGTCTCATTCCTGTACTTCACTGATACAAGTACGAACAGCTAATGTCAACAGGGTTAACTACAGGAATAGTAAATTTTGGATTAAACATTCATAGTGCCTAATACAAATGAGTTCTTTTACCTTTCTGTTGCTAATTTTAATTTCCCCTGATTGTCAAGCACAAGTTAAGTGCCTTCACATGGCTCTTCACTGAATAAATGCTAAAGGAGAAGTTCAAAAAGGAAATTAAATTGCAGAGATGGGCCCAAAATATGAATATGTATTTGGACTGGAGGCTGTGTGGAGAAAAACTGAGGAAAAAGGCCTTTAGCCCAGCATGAATGAATGGTGGTGCTCCCTACCACATGGCAGAGAGCATGAACCCCTTGTCAGCACCGAGACAGGAGCCCTCCAAGTCCCCATATGTCACATCTGTAATACCAACAGAGTGGCAATTCTGTCTCCTAACATACGTCAGTATTACCTTCTAAAGTGTTGCAATAATGGGAAAAAAAACAACAAACATTTTGGCTGAGATGCATTTTGCTGCATAGAAAGTGTAAGTCAACAAATGCTATTAACTAGTTATCGTAGAATAGCACAGGCCACTAGGGTTGCTTTATTGTGTAAAGTCATTACTTTCCATGCTTGTCTTTACATTGGTAATCACTTAACAAAATGCCTAACCTTTGTTTCAGCTCAAATATTTGCTATATATTTTACTATTTATTTATAAACATCAGTATTTCTGTGGATGTGTAGGTACGTTGCATTCACAATTCTTAATTCCAGGTAATGGTATTTGTAAGCGGTATTTTAGGATTATCTACAGACGATTCATCTATAAATTGATTTATCTCAAAGAAAGTACTACAGTACACTGAAGAAAAAGGGCCACAGCTAAAGGCACACTCTTTCCTTTTGTGTTTATTGCTTCTAGCTGTTTTCCTCAAAACTAAACACCAATGTCATGAGAGCATTTGTGAGGACATTACCATGTTTTCCCCTTGGACAAGAGACACTTGCGTGCTGTTGAAAAAGCAGATGGAATCATTCGGGAAAACATTTATTTTCAATAATATAGGGAATTATTTTTTTAATCCTGTCAAATAAATTTTAAGTTCCTGTGGGACATATATTTCATTCTGGAAGCAGAGAAAATATTAAATGACTCACTAGGCAATGCTGTTGATGTAAACCCATATATGTTGATTTTCCAATATGCTATTCCAAAGGAAATTAGAGATAAATCCAAATTCTCATTCAAATCAATACTTATTAAACAGACCTTATAAAAGTGCTGATTCTAGAGGGACTCCTGTGTGAGGAAAATTTTGGGGTTTATTTCCTTTTGTTTCCATCCAAAATGAAACTTTGCAATCTTCTAATTGGTCATTATCAACAAGAGACAAAGAATACATACACACACTTCTGAAATTATAAAGAGTAAAACTTGGCAAGTACTGAAAAACCTCCCAAAAGACGTTGAATATGTGTTGACATATATTGGAACATGCATTTTCATCTTACAGAACAGCTTATTCTTTAACGTTATCCCATGCAAATAATATTTTCCTAGAGTCTTGTCATATGACTAACAGAAAAAAGCTAATTAGAAACACGCACATTTGGGTATTTGCAAAGTCACCATGCCTCAAAAGTATTAGCGAGCATATCTTAATGAAAATTAAAAGGACATGGATTGTTAAAATGAGAACTTATAAAGGTATATTTAGTTTTGGTCCATCAACTGATGACATTTTTTTTCCCAGGGCACTGCCACAGAGGCAATTAAGTAAGTCATAGCACGATCTGTATATATCAATCTCAAAACAGAACTGTCTATGAAATTACCTTTTTTCAATATGAAAACAGTAAATTAATTAAACATGAACTCTATGCCTTACAAATAAGCCTTATTCTAATATCATTCTCTCCTAAAGGAATTGTACCTCGGGGGGGGGGGGGGGGGGGGGGGGATATGCATACTAGCCGAAAGAGAAGAAAAATGTATTTTCTTGGCTGTGCTGGAAAATGTCTGCTCTCAGAACTCCCCCTGAAGACCAACAGAATAACTGCAGGTTGTGCAACAAAACCAAACCCAAAATAATCTCCTGATATTTTGTTTAATCATTAATAGCATGGCAGCATTTCAGTACACCTATGCTATCTTCAGCAATGCCTCCTGCATTTATCTTTTTATTCAGATACTACTACAATTCAATAGGAGCTGGTTACATACTGTGCCTTGGCTTCTTCAAAAAATCCAGCCTCTTTGATAATAAAATCTAGCAGTCCTTGAAGAAGATCACAGATCTTTTTCTAACTGTATAAAAATAATAAGGATTAAGTGTCTTACAGCTTTCCAGTTGCAAAGTACACGTCTGCTTATCCATCGGATACTTGGTCAGATCCATGCTGCATGCAACAGTTGTGGTGATCCTTGAAAAAAAAGAGTATTGCTAATTATTAATGGGATAAAACTATTCATCAGTGAAAATAAAAATAAGCCATGTATCCCTATTAAACTAATATGTTCATTCAATTATCTATTGCGAGGAGGAAAAAATCTAGTATTTACTGGTAATAGCATCCCAAACAAGAAACCACTTCAGAACAGCTGAATTTCATGGCAATCTAAAAAGGCCACCCCTTGTTCCTTTCTCACACTGTGTATTTTCCTTTACTGATATTTTGCAACATATTTTACAGTTTTGTTATACTTATCAAAATCATTATAAATGATAATGTGCAATAAATAATGCAAATCAACCATCACAGCTTGCTTTCCTCTTTGATGATTTCATTGAAAAACAACTGGAATGGCAAAATGCAATTCTCGCATTTGGCATGAAAGTAAAAGGGTCTATTTAGAGAAGAAAATGAAACCCACTGTTCAATTTAGAAGTTTAATCATATGGGTCAATAGCACTGCATATTTTTAAAACTAGAAGATCATGTGTATTCTACTTTTACAAATAGGTAAGTTTCTTAAGCATAAACTTACGCTAATTTGTAAAGTTTAAAATATAAGTACACATCAAATACGAAGGCTGGCATGCAGCATATACATACCGTAGAGCATACAAGACTGTTCCATTAGGGTATATTCTTATAAGACGATTCTCAACAGTGATATCATGAAGAAAAGACTTTTTTGAATCAACTATGAAGGTATCTGGTACCCAAAGCATTTCCACCAGCCGACCATCTAAGCTTAAACTTTTATTACCATCGAAACAAAGTCTCTCATCAGTCCATCGCTGCCTTAGAAATATGGTAGCTGTGTAGTCCTGAAAGAGAAAAAACAAAATTATCACACAGAGCAAGCCTGTATTATATTCTGTTTTACAAAAGTATATGGAAACAGTTGCTGGGCACAAATAGCCTGTGACTCCCATGTTCTGTTCTTAAATGCTGGCACTATGAAAGCAGCTGTACTGGCTCTTGCACTGCCAAATTTTCCAGCACTTGATGTGAGGCTGACATCATTACAGAATATTATCTTGAGTACACTTTGTTCTTACAGCTATTGGAATTTTACAGTAAAAGCTGCTAGCCTAAATCCATGCCTATAAATCAACTGAAGTCATCAGAGTTTTGTAAGCAGATAATCTGTCTCTGTAAATCGTTAAATCTTAGAATGATTTATGTAGGTGGCTGCAAACATCATTTTGTTCACATAAACTACTAAATAATGCATTTTCTAAGAAAACTTTGGAGAAAGTTGCATAAATTCAGATAGACAAAAGGACAAAAGAAATTAGTGGAATAAGCAGTGAATAAGCTTTTAGCACAATTTATCCTTTCAGCATCACAAGGGAAACTGTACCAAATTTACAAAGACCTTGAATATAGCTCTCAGCTGAATTCACCTTTAATTCAAATATGTTTTGAAGTCTTATAGTAAAATCACGTTATTTCTTAGCACTCCTTTAATGAAATTTTGATTTTCTGATGTGCTTTTATCAGGATGATAACTTCATCTTAGGTAGTGACCTTACTTTCCCCTTTCTAAATACTATCTAACACCAAGTACAGAGGGATTCTAACGTTCAATTTCTGTGGAAACCTGGGTAATGAAACGGTGAGATATTTCTATGTATATATAAACACAATTTTTTTATATATTTAATTTTTTAATATATAATTTTTTTTAATATTTATATACGCACACACTTCTATAGACACAAAAGCACACAAATATTTTCTAATATTGACTATCTGATTAATGATTTTTGCCTTTTATTTCTATTACCAATGGAGAGTATCTTTAATTAGAAAACTCCATTTCATAGTTTGTTCAAAAATAAATTACACAAATTTAATGAAACACAGCTGGAATAAATTCACATGAGAGAGTAAAAGTAAGAGAAAAGCAATACTCATTCAGCTGTGTTTAATCACAAGGAAAGGGAGTGGCTTCAAAGTCACATGAATATATAACTTTCTGAAATGCAGAAAGATTCAGACATTCCATCTGGAAAATAAAGACTGTTCTATATTCCTTTCATGACAAATAATACTCAGTAGCAAATTTCTGTTTGTATGTGAGAGCTGTGATTTACACCTGCATTTCTCTACTTATTTTAGTGCTATAACCACTATCTGTAGTGAAAAATAAAATTCCATCTCCTGACACACATTAACTGCACAAGGCAACTCAAAGTCACATTGTCAGCAGCTGTAAACAAATCAACAAGCAAAACGAAACAGATTGCAAAAGCTACAATACCATATTTATTTCTGATATCGTATCAATGCTTGCAATATCCAGACTCATTCCAACTGACACGGGACCATCTGCAAAAAAGAGAAAGTCAGAATCTAGCACAAGGTTTTTTAATACTCAGTGTTCAGGAGAACTGGTTAGAAAATCTCCCACAACATGATCCATTTTCTCTAAATGCTCAAGGGAAATTTTTTAAAGGAAATAATCCTCAAACTTAGACTATGACAGGTTTTTAACAATTTCATAAGCAAAATACAATACTTCTAGACTAACAGTATCTTGGCTTTAATAAACATACTTTATTTCCTAAATACTTCCTGGTTTGTATGATTTACTTTTTTTTCAGAAATAAGATGCTGGAGAAAACGCTGCACAACAAGGTGTAGAAGGTACAATCCCCAAGGAACATCACACCCTTCTGCTCCGAGATGCAGAGCAGTGGAAAGAATCCTTCCAGCTGCAACATCTGGTGCATCAGATGTTAGTGAACTAAGGGGTTGCACCTGGCAATGTCGCATGATTAACATCCAGATGGGATAGCTGAGTGACTTTATTTACTGGCTGTTTAAGAATATATTGTCTATATTGTGTCACTGTATTTTAACTTCCTGCTTTTGACCACTAGCAATTAACTTGTGATTTCAATACTTGCATTTATAAAGGGAAATTAGTAATTTTATTCCCCTTTTAAGATCAGCTGAAGGTTTATTCACTGTGATTAAATACCTTACCTAGGTAGTTGCCATTGTAATGTTAGTATGCTCAGATTCTTGTTTCCTTGTGAATACATTTTAGTGTCAGAAGGAAGATCATCAGCTGTGTATTTTAAAATGCAGAAATTATGCAGAGCTTTCATGGGAACATGACATTATTCCTGGTTGAATATGTGCAGAATAATTAACCAAGCACATGTACAAGGAAATTCATATTAAATAAGTGCATCTTTCCAAGTAATTGAGAAGCAGAGAATGCAGTACTGAGAAATCAGATATTTTAGATAAGATCTAGGTTGGTGATTGTGCCAGTATGTTGCAGGCATGCTGCTGAAACACTCTCTTGGCTCCTTGCAATGCATTAGGTATACATGTCCCCAAATGGCATTTAGAGGAAGACAGGGTCCAGCTTTACCCCACTGACTTACACTAACAAAAAATGTGTCATTCTAAGTGGTGTAAATGTATTGATATGTTTACTTTTTCCAAAATAATTTCAAATTGTAATGCATGTGTCAGCGCTGTTAAACATCTGGCACTTCTGAAACAATCTATAAATGCTTTTTTCTGGACTCAGTTGAAACTTCAAGTATAAAACTCCAGCCTAAAGCAGGACTGTGGGCTTGCAGCATTCCCTGATGGTGATCAATGTGTTCATTATACACTATAAACTGTATATTGGAACTGGAAAAAATTGCTCATCTATTGGAAGAAGGCTTTGGAAGTTAATTTAAGAACAAGATTGTACGACTTTAAAGTTCTCAGACCATTGACAGATTGTTCTGTTCTTGCCATTCTTTTCAGGTTTTGATATCCCAAGAATACATTTATATTTGTTCTTCAAAGTTTACAAACTTGACCCTCTAGGAAACTCCGCCCGACTTCCTAGCATGCAACAGCAGCAGAATTAATTGATACTTGTGCTTACCATTGTACTATAGCATTACTACAAGTGAAATACTGCCAGCATTACTGCCAGCTCAAAAGAAACATCAGATGCATAAAAATTCTTAAATTTAAAAATAAGTCTGATTTATAACCCATTTTCTGGGGGTTTTGCTGTTTGGGACTTTTTTCCAAGCCTTCTTGCAGATTCCCATGTATCACTGTACGAGAGTATCTCATTACCAACAGTCACACAAGAATCGGGGCAACCTCATCATGCAAGGCATATATTTAATAATGGACCACCCTTGGGAGTTAACAGTGCAGTGTTCAGCTGGTGACGTGGGAATTCTGACTGGGAACAATCAGACTCTTTCCTATTATATTTTATTGATAGGAATACTTAATCCTTGCTAGTCAAAGTGATACAGATTAGGGGAAATGCTCATTAGCAACATTTAGTACCATCAGTGCTATTGTTATACATCTGAGAGGAAAAGCCGACTTTCCAGAATGACTACTGAAATTAAATTAGGTTTCATTTTTCTGGAATCACAGACACAGGACTTTGTGCATCGCTTTTTTCCTTCTTTCCTGTTATGGTATTTTTCAAAATACTATTGAGTACCACAACTGAAATGTAGTGTAGGTGACTCCCAACTACCAAAGGACATCTACCTCAGGTTCAGAGGTACTTTAGACTGGTTGTCCTAGCACAGACCTGCCTTGCAGTTCAAGTGCTAAAGATTGGTACTGTAGTCAGGACAAAACCACCCAGCTCTGCTAACCATGACAGTCTTCATAACCCAGGAGCTTGTGCTGTGCAGCCAGCCTGTTGAGCCAAGCACTCGGGAAAACTCGGCAGCAAATTACATCCCTTCAGATACAGCAACATGCCAGAGAGGAATTGTGCAGGGGGGCGGAAATCGTGGAAGGGTTCTTTAATAACACAATATAAGCTGTTGAGAATAGCTTTGCTTTAACTGTTAATTAAACCAGAAAACTATTAATAGGTAAATGCTATTTTTGTGTGTGTGTGAGGCTAAACACAGTTTATGGCTCCTTACTAAATAAGCAGATTATTAGTAACAGAATGAGTCTCCCCACAATTATTCACCAGGGTTTTCCCTGAACTTCCTCTGAAAGGTCTGTTGACAGTGTCAAAAACAGGGCAGCAGACCAGATGGGGCAGTCAATTCCTACATTTCCATATGTTTGGCAGGAATTTTATGTATAATGACAGCTTCAGAAGAAATTGACCGATCTTCAGAAGAAAACTGAACTTAAGTCCGTCCTGCATTAGTTAAGAGAATCTTCAAACCATGGCAAATATCCACCAAAGGGTGTGCCTTGTTGCAGCAATGGGTGTACAATTCAATTAACATATATTTTAACTTTTACTGAAATTTATGTACAAAGCCTGTTACTTCATGCACTTTACAGATATTCACAGTAACCCCATATGGGAAATTAGCCAGAAGAGTGGCAGACAGCACACCTAAAAATTAAGTCTGGTTCACTGCAATGATCACAGTCTGTTAATCTTTGCACCAAAAAAGGAAAACCACCACTGTGTCACATTGGTATTTGTAACTTTGAAGACCAACTACTTAAATCAGTCTGCACTATTGTGAACTGCCAGTGCTGAGCTATTAGCAACAGCACTTTCATTTAGTTTAAGAAAACTTAAGATGATTCTGATATTTGGAAATATCTCAAAAGGGATGGCTTTTTGGAAGAACACCTTACCCTTGCACAATATTGGATAAATACTATGCAACTCTAACTTAGAAGGAAAAGTATGACCAGAATAATTTATTGTAGGTTCACTAAAAACTGGGGGTTTTCTGCCTCACTGACAGATTTGCTTTGGTTTAGAGCATTATGGGACTTTTAGATGAAGTGGTAAATTAAGCTTGGATTTTTCTGGTGCATTAACGTCCCACCACAAGACATCTTTCTTGACAAGTACATGTTACATGAAGAGACTGGACAGATTAAGACAGGCCTTTTGACAGATCTCAACTGTAATTTTTGATGCGAAGACATCAGAAGATAGATCCATTTCTAGCAGGAATCAGCTTCGATCTTATTTGTTCACATCAGTGATCTTTAGTCAGTGATGTAGTTTCATTGGTACAGTTGGTGAATAAGACAAAAATTGGTAGGGAATGTAATAACAGCTTGTTAAATCATTTGTCAAAAATACCCACTTTAATACAGCCAAATGCCAGCAAGTAATGTGGGGACAAATAATGCAGACAATATGTACAGGATAGGAAACTATCCTGGCAAGCAGTGCCTTTGAGAAGGATTTAGAGGTTGTCACAGATAATCATTTCAACATGGTCTTTCCGCATTATGCTTTGGCAGAAGCACTACTGCAATGGGGAGCAATACATAGAATTAAGTTATCTTGCAATCTAGACTGTACTGGCAAGTCTGTTATGAGATTACTGTGACATGATTTGTTTTCCACATTTGAGTTTAAAAAAATGTGCAAACAGCAGACAGAGTTCAATTGAGAGAGAGAGAAATATTTCAGAGAGAGAAGACAAAAACCTCTGGAAGCTTAGTATCAAAGCTTGTAACATGGAAATTAAGGAACAGCATTTACTCAGCTCCTCAAGAAGATGGAGAGGTGACTTGCCCAGTGTCAGGAAGTGCACAGAAACACTATCCAGTGGGTAAGTTGTACACATTCTTTGACTAAGCAAAGCAAGATCCCAGTTTATGGAAGCCATAGGCAACATAAAACTTCAAATAAATTGATCTTTGTCTAACTGAACTTAATCACTGTTCATCATTTAGAGTCTCTAGAACTCAGCATTTAGGGGCAGGGAAGAAAAATAAACACAAACCTACATGCAGGAAGCTGGGTTTGGTGGCAATGATTGTCTCAGAGTGTCTCTTATCTCCATGGGAAAGTAAGGAAAATATACATTAACATCTGTATGCTGAAGTTTATAGTTTTGCACCATCACTGATTTATTAAGTCACAATTTTAAGGATTCAGTAGGGATTCAAAAGATATTTTTCCCAAATATACAACTGGCTGGACACATTCTGGGCTTTTTGCCTTTCTCTGAAGGCAAATTGGTATATAAAATAGTCTTTAGATTATGATCATTCGGTGTTTCATGTACTCTGTGAGGTTGTCTCACTAAATCAAAGGGTCTTAAACACAGCTGATATTCTGAAATCTCCTGGTCTCTTTTGGGGGTATACTGTAAAAATCTGAGGACTAAAATGCCTTCATCTAATTAAACTCATAAAACCTAATATAAACAACATTTGAGGAAAAAAAAACCCGATGACTGGTCTTACATAGAAGGTTGGACTCAAATTTAATTTGCTTTCTTGAATTAAAACCTTAAGACCATGAAATGTATTACTCATTACAAGGCTAAGGAAAATAAACTTTTAAATATAGTTTAGAATAACTGATTTGAGCATGACACTTTTCTATACCACTTGAAAGCAGCTTCCATATTCAAATATACTTAGCTGTGACCTTTTCCTAGTCTCTCACTTTTTAATGAGAACACTTAAATTATCACATTCAATCACAGAACAAAATCTATTTGTGTAAAATTATTTACAAGATTTAATGCATCCCTTACCACCTCCATGTGCCTGATCCAAGGCTCACTGAAGTCAGCAGGAATTGCTCATTAATTCAGAGAGGTTTGGCACAGCACTTAACGTTACAAAATTGGCCTACACAGTTTCAGCAGAAAACCTGGTGTTGAAATCAGCTCGTATTACTGAGATAAAGTTTCAGGGTTATGTAACACATTTAAGGGAAATAACTATACATTTTTAAATCCCTTATCTCAGCTTTTCTTTAGAAGACTTTCACATCTACTTAAAGTCAAAGATGGATATTATTACGATAAGGGGTACTATCTACTAACACTACTACAGAAGTATTTCATATTCCAGTACAAATAATGGTTAAAATCATTCTAGAATAGGTAATTTTTTTTATTCATTAATGGAACTGCCTGGTTTTATCTGTTCAGTTTATAAATACTGAGCTGGTTCATCAAGCAAAAGAGGAATATAAAAATGCTATAGTTAAGGAAAAAGAACGTTCTTAATAATAGTATTTGGATGAGGGCAGAGGCAAGTAACCATTTCAGCTTGGATTTCTCTGTACATCGTGTAAAAGTAACACCATCATTTGGTAATTGGTATGTGCCACCCACCAAACAAAAAACACTCACTATATTTTACTTGTCTGCAAACTTTGACATACTAATACTGCTTTCAACTGATCTAATTTTAAGCACCTATTTTAGGTGCCTAGAGACGGGAATGACATTCTGTATTGGGCGTAAATGGCAGCCTTTAAGCAACAAGGGTCTGGAGGGGTGGCCTGAGGGGAGGAGATGACTTAAGGCAAGATTAATCCAAGCTTAAAATCTAGAAATCTATTAGTTCACACACAGTATCACAGTATCACAGTATGTTAGAGATTGGAAGGGACCTCGAAAGATCATCTAGTCCAATCCCCCTGCCGGAGCAGGAACACCTAGATAATGTTACACAGGAATGCGTCCAGGCGAGTTTTGAATGTCTCCAGGGAAGGAGACTCCACAACCTCCCTGGGCAGCCTGTTCCAGTGTTCCGTCACCCTCACTGAGAAGAAGTTTCTTCTCAAGTTTAAGTGGAACCTCTTGTGTTCCAGTTTGTACCCATTACCCCTTGTCCTATCATTGTTTGCCACTGAGTTCCCATCAATGTAAGGGGAGAAGCCAATTTCTGAGTTGTTATACAGCTACTGGATTCAAGGGAAAAATATAATGTCCTTGTTAATGACACTAGCTGAGTTGTACCCTCTTAGGTAATTGCCAGTCATCCACCAGTCCCAGCATAAGGACCAAGCATGGACAAATAAGCAAATGGAGGGCTTATTAAACTAAATTTATGATTTCCTTGACTGGTAAATATTTGTGTTCCTCCTGGCTTTAGGAAAAAGGGAACCCTATTTTATGATCATTTGTTTATACTTAACGCTTTCTTTTCAGGACTAACAAAATCCAACATTTTGCTAAATATTAAGTTCGGTGTCACTGATTTTTTTTAAGAGTATGATTGTATCTTGGCAGCAAGCATCCTTCAAAAATCCACATTTCCTGCCTGAAGAAAAATTTCAAGGACAAACAACTTTGAGGTGACTTTGAATTATGTTACTCTACATTCAAGCTAACCTCTGGCCCGCTCACACTTGATATAAATCAGTGTTCCATTATGGCTAGCTAACATTAAGCTCAAAGCATTTTAGATGCCAACAAATAATACCAACTAGTTTTATGACAAATTTCTTTACAGATATTTATGAGTGCATATCCAACTGACCGCAAATATGCATACTTTCAAAAACAAAGGAATTTTGGCACAAAAAAAAAAGGGGGGAGCCAAATGACTTAAAAGGGGGCTGACTTTAGGATATTATTTTTAGATAGTTCCATGTATCGACATACACATACTAGGTTCCCATTTTATGCAAATCCTTTCGTGCACTTCAGACAGCAAATATAGATCTTGGGGTTAATATGCACATACATCCTTTTCTGTGCATGTTTCTAGAAAAACAAATTTACAAATTTCCTTCTCAGAGTAAATCAGCACTGATGGGTTGACACAGAGCTATATTATATCGAAGAAAGTAAGGATTTTCAGGGAAAAAGGATGGTAAAAATAAAAAGGCACATAAGAGGTATAAATTACTAAATTACTGTAGCCATTGATGTAATTCTGAGTAAAGCCAGTTATACTGAAATCTTTCTCACAAAGAACAGATACAAGGTACACCAGCTGCAGGCAGATAATATCCATAGGAATAAGGAAATTATTGAATAGAACAAAACTAGGATAGCTGTGGTCACAGAGATCAGTATAATACAGTGATTTGCTAAAGCGAAGATTCGGGTCGTTTACTAGCTCTGCTTCTGAGGAGAGGAATAGCTTTTCCTGGACCTACATCTCATCCAAGCTGCAGCCCACTTCGTCAGCAACAGAGAGGGGTCAGGGCTGCAAAGACACCACTCCCCAAGCATTAATGTCTCTCTTACATGGAAAACGGTCCCAAAAGGTCTTGCCAAAAGCTACAGATCCAAAAATCATAGAATCATAGAATCGTAGAATAGTTAGGATAAATACTTCCTAGATCATCCTAACCTAAATTATTCCATTAAAAAGTAATTTCTCTTTGTAAATTCTCTTTACCAACCCTGACAGCATCAATAAAATGCATTTTTCAGATTCTTATCCCATTCCTTCAGTAGTAGGGCTAATATAGATCCTGACACACAGTGTTTGGACGCCTCAGCTGTAGCGAGCATATGCAGCAACAGTGGTACTGTCTGGAAATGCTAGACTGTCTCTGCATACGACAGAAGATCTGCACTTGAGCTCCTCTGGGATTTGTAAGCAAATGCAGAAAGTCCTTAGCATCCCTCCAAACAAAATTCACAGGCAGAAAATCAGCTACAGCTCTGCTGCATTATTACAGCTGAGAAAAAAAAAAGCTCACATTAGGAAAGGGAGATTTGTAACTCAAAAGTGCTTTACTGCTGGTCTTGAATACTATCATAGGATTTTGAAATTACGTTCTGTTTGTGTCCACCAAACTACATCCATCATGGCAGTGCCAAAGTATCGCTAGTACTAGCCTTAAGCAATGAACAAAATATATTAATGGCCACTGATCATATAATTATTTTCCATTATGCATCACCTCCAATGCAAAGGTGTTAGCTTATTAGCATTACTTCTATTTTGTAGAAAACCTTAGACTATGTAAATACTTTATAGCAGTTTTTATCAGCAGCTGAGACAAACATAATCATACCAAACAGATTAAATAGGTTTCCCTTTCTCCTAAACCTAAAATGCAGATTTATCTTATTATTTTTATGAAATGGATTTAGAAATTGCACATGATGTGGAGCACCCTTATTGAACAGGCTGATACTCTCACCAAGTATTTGGATGGCAAGAGGTAACAGTATGGTCTGAGAAACACTTTAGCCAACCATTAAGAAGGACATGAAGGCATACCAAAGTCATTTGAAACCTTTAATGATTCTGAATATTTAACTTAAGAACTATTGTGTACCATTCACTGTGCAAATTAATTTTCTGACAGATGTGGTGTTGAGCATCTTTTCAGCATGCAGAGTATTTTCTTTTTCAGAGTTCTGCAGTTACTCTAGGCAGATATCGTCACCCAACCTCACAACTCCTCAGTATTTCTGATACACGGAATAGCCTGATTCAAGCAAGGAAGGTGTCTGTCTCTGAGATTTCAGGTGCCTAACATTCACTGTACTGCAGGGCAGTAAAATCTGCCTTCATGCAGTGGACTATGGGGGTCTTCCAACCTGGTGACCATGAATTTCTAATGCAAGAAACTCAAATTTTTGTTTTATTTTTCCTTACAGTTCTGCAGTGAAACAATTCAGTGACCTTTAAGACCCAAGGCAAGAAGCATTTATGGAATAATTCTCTTGCATTCTTACAGTAGATGCACTTAATCCTTGATAAAGTAACAAGATTTGCCCGTGCTTTTATAAATATTTTGATATATAAAGCTTTCTCATCCTTAATCAAAACTTTTTACAGTTATTATTTAGGAAATTAGAGGAAATTGTGCTTTTAAATAGTCAAGGCATGACAGCTTATTTCACAGAGGACACATTAACATCGACAGTCAAGTCCTTAACTTGACTTGGAAGTTTTGTTTGTGAATGCCTGGAATATATATATTTCACCTTGGGCCACAAAAGCTATTATGTTACATCTTATTTTATCATAGTACGTCATGTACAATCAGATCAGCCTCTGTCAAACACCGGAGGAAAAAAGTACAGCAAAAAAGAACATTTGCTCTCATCGCTAAATTTCAGACACTGCATTACATTGAGGCTCAGTCTTATGGAAACAGCTTTTCTACTTACTATCAAAAAATGGACGTAGATACTTGTTGTACCCTTTTATTATTTTTTGTATAGTTGGAGGTAGAATTTCACCTTTTCCTTCAGCTTTGGAAATTTGCATTGACCTAAATGGAATTAAAACAGTGAGAATGTTTTAAAAGAACATCATCAATTATAGTAGAGATGACATTGCAGGAAAATACTGTATTAGTTTCAAGGTTACTGATGATTACTGCCCATCAAATAACATATTAGGAAACATTTGCACATATGCATTTCACAGCACAGATTTTATAACGGGCATTAGTCTCTTACTGGAAGAAAACAACACTTTTTTACCTTAAAGCATACCATTTCTTAATACCTCACCTTAGAAAACAGTTCCGTCTTCTTTAATACCTTCTCTGTAAATAGGACATTACTATTATAATCTAGGAATGTGGGAAAAGTGTTGGCTGTTTATTTTAGCATTTAAAATTAAGCTTCTTTTTACATAATAAAATACATTCAATTTAGCTCCTGGAGAGAGGCAGAAACCAGCCTCAGAGATTAGTGCATAAAACCGCTTTTAAAATCCTGCTTTTATAACACAGTTTTTAAACAGGCTACAGAAATAACCCTGTTGGGCAAAACTGGTGAAGCATAGTGAGAATGCAAACCACTGCTTTGTTTGAAGTAATTACAAATATGAACCACAAAAGCTAAATGGAAATAAGTAAGAAATTTTAAAACCCTGGGGCCCCTGCAATAGCCTCACTGGGAGGGTGAGGGAAGGCACTAGAGAAGATGCATACCACAATTGCAGTTTTTTAGTTAGACTACATCCAGATTAATTTTTATATATTCCCACTTTGTCTTTTATAGGTCTTTATAGCTAGCAGCTGCGGATGGGCACCTGCGGTCATGAAGGGCCATTACACAGACAGTAACTGTCCCATAGCAAAGGATAACTTTGTTCTTAGTTTCTGCCTAACCCCTAAGGTGAGCACCTGAGTGCAAGCAAGGTGTGCTCACCCATCACAGATTTAGGCTGTGCTCTTCATAAATTAAAACACAAGTGCTACTGACTGCTCATTGCCAGTGATTTCAGAAAAGTGGCGGTATGACTCTAACTATGAAGGTGAGAAGCAAGTAATTAATTGACTCAAGGAAGCCCAGCTGGTTGCAGGCAGAGGCGTTGTGTTCTGATGGAGAACAGCCACTACATATTCACCAGGAGGTTTCTCTGCTTCTTATTACACACATCAGAAGTGACTGGTTACTAGAAGCAACCAGTTTTACTCCCATACAGAAGATATGAATTGTAGATGTGGTGGCTCAGTGCTGGAGAGAAGGGTGTAAATACAAATTGATGGTCAAAGGGTCTCTCCCTTTTTGTGTTCTTTCCTAGTCATGCCCAATCCTCGCTGAATTTCTTCCTCCCAGTTCTACTTGGGCTGCTTCTGAGAACTGTTTGCTCTTCCTAATGATGTTTCAAGGTCTCCTGTAGCTTTCTAAAGCTTGTGCCTTTGATTTTAATTTTACCATATTTCTGAGGGAGCTTGAGCTGTTCTGTCAGGAATCTGTGGCTTTCACTCACTAGGAACAATCCAGTATCTTAGATGAGCAAAATTTAAATGTTGAGATGATCTCACCAAGTACATGTGGCCAAATCCCACTGTGGTTTGTGATGTGGTGTCTGCTGTCCTGAAACACCGCTGTGTGATTTTTCTGTTCAACAAGCCATACTCCCACATAAGTAGCTGTTTTTCATTAGCAGTCTTGCAACTTGTGTAGCTCAGGTATTTGAACGGTCCTGTTTACTTTCCGTATTTTGTTCCTGATTTTTTTATTGTTGCTAGAGAACTATGTAATTACTTAATGTAGGTGTGGTCTTGAGTAATGCCATTATCGAAATAACAAATATTTATCCTTTGTGTACCAAAGAAGCAAGCATGGTTACATTCAGTATCTGAAGGGGGCCTATAGGGATGCTGGGGAGGGACTCTTCATTAGAGACTGTAATGATAGAACAAGGGGTAATGGGTTAAAACTTAAACAGGGGAAGTTTAGACTGGATATAAGAAGGAAATTCTTTCCTGTTAGGGTGGTGAGGCACTGGAATGGGTTGCCCAGGGAGGTTGTGAATGCTCCAGCCCTGGCAGTGTTCAAGACCAGATTGGATGAGGCCTTGGGTGATATGATTTAGCGTAAGGTGTCCCTGCTGATGGCAGGGGGGTTGGAACTAGATGGCCTTAAGTTCCTTTCCAACCCTAACTATTCTATGATTCAATGATTTATTTAAAATATGAACATAAATAAAAGGGCCAGTTCTATGTTGCACAAAAGTCTTGGAATGAAAAATGTACTTAAATTTAACTTTCAAATACTGTGCTTGCAGTAGATATTTCTGCTTTTGAAATTTACATGTAACTTTAGCTAAGTGTTCGATGAGCTGCATGAGTTTGATTTCATAGTTTTACTGGATTCTTCTGAATAGCTTTCACAACCTGTTAAACAATAAAATAAAACTTGTCCCTTTTCCACTACAAGGACATAATACTGTTGTGCTGATCAATATGCAACTACATAGTGGTCTGCTGCATTATCATTGACCGTTATTTTCTAAAAGATATCTTAAATTTTTGCCATTGCTGTTTGGAAGTCCTTTCCTTAAATCACCTGTGGAAATAGTTCTTTATTTCCCTCAGTAATACATAATGTGTAGTCTTTGGGTTTTGACTTTTACGGGTAAGAACCTGCTGCCATGGAAAAGCAGTTGTGCAGTACCTGAGGCAGTGAATTAATGGGGTACCATCCCTTGTATCCTCTTTTGCCCGGCAATCTTTGACAAGTCTTACCACATTAAGCCAATATATGAGAGGAATCTGATGCCTCATATATGTGAGTGTGTGGTGGTACCATCTTGGTAACTTTGGGGATATTTAGAAGCAGCTTGTCAGTGTTGAAAGGTAAGGAATCTATAAATGTTATGTACCTTACACGGATTTGCTTATCAGCATTTCAAGTGAGGATGCCCTGTTTCATTTAAAGTGCTCTTCAATTCATGTGCCCCATTCATCACTAAACAGCTGAACACATTCCTATACTCTGTCATATAGCCTTATGCAGGAATCACAAAGGATTAATGTAAAAGCTGAGTCTCATTCCTCGTATGCGTGTACATCTTCTCATCAATGCATCTAAGCTTCTCTTTTACCCTGTATTCTTCTTGCTGTATTTAACTAACTGCATATGTTTTAGTTCCTCCATTTTCTTAATATATTTGAAAGACACAGGCATGCATCTAAGTATGGAATTGCCTTGAAACAGCTGTTCCAACCACTGAGAAGAGAATAGGCTTTTGTAGAAGAAAACTGAATATGTATTTGACAGCTGGGAATATCTATGTGTTCTGGGCTGTCAATGTATAATACATGTTTAATCTCTTCAGGTTCAGTGATGCATTCTTTCTTTTATAAAAGGTGAATTATAATTATTTAATTTTCTTAGTTGTATTATGGTTTAAAAATGTAATATTTTTACAGGCTAGGCTGAACTTGATAGGTATAACAACTGCTTGTTATTTAAGATACTCTTAAGTCAGTGTCTTAACAGAATTGAGTAACTGGAGGAGGAAGAGGGCATGTCTGCCCTTAACAATAGTATACATCACCACTTAAAATGTAAGTGCAGTCAAGACACATGTACAGGAATATTTTTCCTAGGTATTTTTTGTCACAAGTTATGTATCGTGAAAGAGGCATAAACACCTTAGAACCAAAAGAAGAGAGAAAGAAAATGCCAAATACAGTCTCTGAGCAACAACCCCCTCAGGAAAATCTAGGGTAAAATAGTTGTTTTCAGGCAAACCACTGACAGGCGAAGGGTTTACTGATGTAAACAAAGAGGTTACTTCTTATTTCATGCCCAGGTTGCTCAAGAATACAGGCTTTTGTATAGTCTCTGTGGATAAACTGCAGAAGAATCACCTACATCACCGACATTCTCTGTGTCAAAACCTCCAGTACCCCTACTGATTTTTTGGTTAATTGGTGGGGCTGAAACACTAGCATTATGTTACCATTTACCAGATACAGGAACAAATACTTAAATAATGTAAGTGCCCCTAAACTCAGCCAAAAAACGAAAGACTAAAAATCCCACAAAATAAATGGGTGCCCTTCTTCGGATCAAACAGCAGATATTTACTTAAGCTAATCCCTGATAATGAATCTATTTATTACTTTGATCAATTTGCCTCAATTTTTTCATTTCTACTTTTTTAATAAAAATATTTCCAGGAAACTGATCCAGGCAATGCCCTGGATATAGACTCTAGTATGTGTGTCTATGATGTAATTGTAATGTAATTTAATTCAAGTGAAATTAAGAAATGTCATTCAGGAAGGGAGAGCTAGAAAGCAAGGTGACATTGTTAGCATGTGTGTTGTGACAGATCATGTCCTCTCTATGAATATGAAAGGAAGATGAGGCTCTAAACTTAAAATAAAAAAACATCACCAAACATTATTGGTTATAAAATACTCTGTAGAGGAAAGCCTCTTCACGCATTAGTCAGAGTTTGCACATGTGGGTTGCCCACAGGGTCAGCTACAGATCAGTCCTTGCCCTTGCTTCAGTACACCTCAGTCCTTGGATATTGCTTAGAATTGTTTCTCTCTTTCAGCGCCAAGCAGCTAGTTTTTTATTTTAAACGCCATTTTCACTATACCTTCCTGATGTGTGTGCTGCAAAAAAGCATTTGCGTGCCTAAGCATCACCTTGGCTGTGAAACAGGCAAGGGGCAAAGCTGCATCTTAGCCTGTGTTTGGATTTGGATACTACATCAGCTCAATACTGTGCACTTCCGTCCAAGCTAAACAGGTGCTATGCACGCACATGATTCCCATGGATGCTGCACAGGAGTTAACTGTCTGTGATTCTGGATACTCTTAGCCATGTGAAGCTGTAAGAGGATTTGAAAAGTCTGCCTGATAATGAAGGCAATTATACACTGCAGGCTGAACTTCTCAAGGAAATTAACCTCCTTGTTACTTAGATGCTTCTGAAATTTTGTTGGTCTCTTACCAGTGTTTTATTACTGCAAAGCCATGAATCATGCAGTGATTATAGAGTGTGACAAGTCACAGCTGACAAGGAAGGAAGGTAGAATTAGAGCAAGTGTGTGTTCTGAACAAAGATCTCTTTATAGCACTGGAGAAGGTGTGGGAGATGAATGCTTGAAGCTCCCTTTCAGGGGAATCTTTCACCTGCCCTCACAAGTGGAGGCTTTATCTAAACATGCGTTTGCACACCCACCTGAACCAAAACTCAGGCAGAATCTTACCGTAAGGAGATTGGGAGACCAAATAGGTTAGGTAATTTTACACAGAATTGGCTAATAGACTTTAAATACTTCAGTTAAAAGTGGTAGTGACTATGTCCATGCTTGTCTTTTCTTATTAGAATTACTTACAAAGAATAGTTTTTCCCCATTTTTATATAAGGAATATATTTTCAGCACTCTATTCCTATCTTAAGGGTTTTTTTTTTTGTCATGGCAACTGCACTGTTAGCAGGGTTACTGGTACACAGAAGGAATCAGTTTCACCTTCCAGCTTAACATAACTAATCTTTTCTAAAGACTTCATGATTTCATCACAGAGAATAAGAAGACAACATTTTAATCAGGTAAATCTTTTTAAGACACTCTCCTTTAGTAATGAATGCACAGTGATGACTCTACTACCTCAAGCTTACAGTACATTTAGGTGGACTGTGTGCTTCCGTCCTTGGGCAAGGTACCGTGCTCTAGGCAAGGACCCATCTAAATTTGTGTCCTTCTAAATCTGCTAAGCATCTGATGATATTCACATTCTTTACACAGTAATCCTTCATTTGAAGGATCATTTGCTTAAATTAAATGTTTTGAGGTTTGGTTTTTTTTTCCTTCCTCATCAGTCTTCTTAATGAAAAACAACTGTACCTCAGTTAAGGTAACCAAGATGATTCATGGAGTTCGGTCCTGTATTTCTGTTAATATTCAGGTGGTTTTATCTTTTTAAGAGACAAGATTCAACTGTCGAGATTTGGCTCTGTTACCTGGTCAGATATATTTCTAATTGAAAGCAAATTGATTATAAACCAACTGATATTACTATATGTTTAAGAAATAATATTTTAGCAAATATTTCTTACCTACACATCATCAACAGAAAAAGGGCTCTGAGACTCCAGCATTTAAGACTGCACATTGTCAGGTGTGGTTTTGGAAGCTCTTGTAGCCCCTAAAAAAAAAAAAGTGCAGAGGCAATGTTTTACAGTACATTTGCATTTCAAATACGCAAATTTCACAAGGTTTTCAACACTACTGTATCTTGAATAGCTGCTGCTATAAATCTATTAGTAAATAATGATAACAATAAAAACCCTCAAAACATAAAAAAAGACATCAGCAATTATTTAACTTACCAATTGAAGCTGCATTCCAGTGTATTACAGCTCTTTTATTTTTGCATCTGTCCTTTAGATATTAGGAAAAGTAATTGTTTTGAGAAATCATGCAATCATGCAGGAGAGTCATAAACAGTTTTGTGTCTGCTATTCAGGCTTGTAAATAAGTGTCTCTGGTACATCAGTGCACTCTGAACGGAAAATATGTAACTCCATCTTATAACACAGCTGTTCAAGAGCAGCAGCATCATTGGCATGGGGGTAGCAACAATACCTGTGATGCTTATCTTTGGCAAGCTTTTTGTTAATGAAGTAAATCAAAATGATATGTTTCTGCCTCTAGCTATTACAAAAAGATCCTTTGACTGTATATAAATAATCATATATAAGCATCTGCATCCATCAAAATGCTTGGCTGAGGCAAGATGTTTTCTTCTGAATGAGATTTCTTTGCCTTTGTCAGTATGATTCACATCCATAATGGTTATTTTAAGTAATCTGTCAGCACTGTAATCCGTTTCTGGATGAAAAGACTATCAGTCTATATTTTAATGCATTCGTGCAACAGATCTGAAATTCATGGGCTAAGCATACTTTTGCTATACTTCATCACGGCACATAAATGTTATTTTAAGACTTCCTTCAAAACACAAAAAAAAACAACTACATGACAGGAACATTACCCAGAATCTGCAAAACAACTGTTAAATGTTAATATATACAAATGAAATATCTGTTGTAGGTTTTAGAAAGGGACAATCAAACAATACTATTTTTGGTGTCCAAAATATATTTTGCAGGAGTCTCTTGCACTTCAGTTTCACAATAAATTATAAACAGTAAAGAATTTGAAGCTTCACAACTTGAAGCTTTGTTTCACCATCCTTTCATTTCCAATGCAAAATTCTAGTGAACCTTTTTCTTTCGGTCTATAGCTCTAGTAAGAGCAACACAAGTGGTGTTTACTTAAATTAATGCAGTGTAAATGGTATCTGACTTGAATGTAACAGTGGTGAAGTGACTAAGTTAATGTCTCCACAGAAAAAAAAGCCAATTCAATGGCTTTTCAAACCAGTAAAAATTCTCAGCATCTTGGATACTTTAAGCATACATCAGCCTGGTAAATATTAATGGCAAAATAAATCATACACTCCTACTGACTTCCACAGAAAATCATGCATGAGACATTAAGAGAGCCTGTAATAGGAAGATACAGCACAAATGAGCAGATGGTGTTGTCAGAACATTGCTCTCAAAATGCTGATTCTGGAACACTCCTGGTGCATATCGTGGGATTTCTTTTGCGTATCTCACTTTGGGTTTGGATACTTTCTACATTCACTATCTTTATCTCAAAGGAAAACATGCTAAAAATAAGGATTATCTTTCTGGTTTCCCAGAAAACCTCTTACTGACTTCATAAGTACTTCATAAAGCTGCTTTTATATTTAGCTTTTGAATTGCTACTATGAGCTCCTAATGTGTTTGAAGATCCTTTATAAACAGATTAAGGAAACCTATGGATATTTCAGTACTTATTTGGTTTTAGTTTTCACAGTACTGAAGATCAAAATGAATGGGCTGATTACTAATCTCTTTCTAAAGCAACTGGTTTACCTTTAGATCATAACCAACAATCAGTGTAGCAATTTTATGGGGGATGGGGTGGAGAATTATTCTCTAACACCTGAAAGGTCAAATCCATTCTATGCTAGATGGATTAATTTTGTGTGCCCAGGAAGGGAGATCATGGAAATAACAAGAAGGAAAAGATCTTTTATTTCTAGATAAGAATATTAATCAAGAGATCCAATTGCCACGTCAATTGGCAGCTCATCACTGCAAAGGGACACTGCATGTCAGCCAAGGAATAGAAACGGGTAGCTACTGAAGTCTTCAGCAGTTTCACAAATAATACTTAAGCTGGATATATAAATCACTGCTGCATGTGCATACATGCCTGCATACACACATTTTCTCTGATGTCCTTACTGAGCTGGTTTGTTCCATTGAAAGCTTACTGAGCTGGTTTGTTCCATTGAAAAGCTTGCCTCTTGGCATGTTTGCACATCCGGAACTTTCCTCTGCCATGCATTCCTTTATCAAATGCAATACACTCACTGCAGGTTTCCTTCCTATATATGTAGACCCAATTAAATACTGGCATTTAAAACTAGTTTAGCAGGACTCAGAATATTTTCCTTTCTCAGAACCTATGAAAATATACATAACCTGTTTTCTGCATGGAATATCAAGCCTTTGAATTTTACCAGACAGGCTACATGTTGTCCAGATTATTGTGCATATACTAACACATCTTCATGTTCTAAACATACTATTAAGTAATTGAGCTGAAGGTAACAAATATCTGCCCAGTTCCCCATATGATGGGACAACACTACTTTCTACTTTGAATTAGACTAGCTTAGGACTGTGAAATAGCAGGTAATAGTTTGGAATTTCTTCTGGGAATCCACTATGTATTAACTTCAGCATGAGAGGAAAAGTGAATTATGCAAGTTTAACAAGCCTCTGACACCGAAATAGGATGAGCAGAGAGCTGGCAGAGGTTGTAGCAGTATCTTGAAATTTCACTTGAAGTGAATTTTGTGTGAATGAATCAAAGAATGAAATATATATTATACCAAAGAAGGACATGGAACTGTTGGAGCAAGTCCAGAGGAGTGCCATGAGGACGATAAGGGGGCTTGAGCACCTCCTCTATGAAGACAGGGTAGAAAAGTTGGGGCTGTTCAGCCTGGAGAAGAGAAGGCTGCGTGGAGACCTCATAGCAGCCTTCCAGTATCTGAAGGGGGCATATAGGGATGCTGGGGAGGCACTCTTCATTAGGAACTGTAGTGATAGGACAAGGGGTAACGGGTTAAAACTTAAACAGGGGAAGTTCAGTTAGATATAAGGAAGAAGCTCTTTACTGTGAGGGTGGTGAGGCACTGAAAGACGTTGCCCAAAGATGTGGTAAATGCTTCATCCCTGGCAGCATTCTGGGCAGAGCTCTGGGCAACATTGTCTAGGATGAGGCATCCACACCCATGGCATGGGAGTTGGAACTTGATAATCTTAATGTCCTTTCCCACCCTAACTATTCTATGATTCTATGATCTTATCCACAGGCAGATGCACGAAAAGACTAAAAATTATTAAAGAAACCTTGGCATATGGTATGCCATGTGCCTGAATGCCCATGGCTGCTATTGCAGGCATCTAATGAATAGAGTTGTCTCAAAATAAGAAGTCAACAGCAGTTTTATAGATTGAAGTCGCATTTGATTTCTGCATTCAAACTGTTGAATGGCAGTGCTTTTAAGTGCTTGATTGAAAAGTAGCTGGAAATTCAGGAAGCATGCAGTCAGAGTGTCAAAGTGTAACTACCTTCCCTGCCCTGTGTTGTCCTACTTGCAATGTCCACTGTAACTGCTGTGTGGCCCATGAGTGTGCGTATATATATATATATATATTCTTCACTCTATCCTCCATTTGTTAGATCAACATGAAACAATTAGAGGGGAAAAAAATGTAAGGCTGAAAATACTAAACACTTGATGGAAGAAAGGGAATGGATATATGCAAGACAGTCACAAGGTAAAAGAAATGAAAAGGAAAAACTCCTACAGGATATGGCCCCAGGAGGCCACTGTCACTTCCAGATTCTTTAGTCATTATCAGTGGCTTCTCCCATTTTTCTGGGTCATCTTCCTCCCTCTTCTTATTTTCAAGTTGCATAGGAAATATTTTACCTTCACCTGTGCACAAGCAATAAGTTAAAATTAAGGGACAGAGTAAATTTTGCTTGTCACTTGGAAAAGCCAACTCCACTTATTGAGAGTAGTTGCAGATATTTTGGTGAATAAAGTGACATGCTATCTGCCTATGTATTAATCTGAAAGCCTCTCTAATAGTCCTAGCTTTGATACTTTTTAAGTCTCCCTAAACTACATAGGTCATGGAAGAAAATGCAAATTTTTCACAATTAAGGTTATTTTTTCATGTTAAGATTGATTAATGCTGCAAAGAGCATGGCTTGAATAGTAGAAAGAAATCCTTTTTAATGGGGTAAATCAGAAAGAAGGAATAAAACCCAGAAGCAGCAAAACTCTGCATCTGACTGGTAAATTGACAGATGAAAGTAGACCAATGCATATGTCTGCATCCTCTTATAAGGGGCACCCTCTTATTTGCATGACAAGCTGGCTCTTGGCATACCAGCTAGCTCACTTCTAAACCCTAGGCACATCTATCTTGCCTAGCATGGACATAAACCATGCCCAAGTCTCCTTGGGCAAGCAAGCAAAGTTAGATTTACTTGGTCCATGGGAAGTAGCTGTCTTGTCATGTTTTCTTTGCAGAAAGTAGTACAGGGGCCATCTGTGTGACAGTGCTATGTTAACAACTGGGTGGATGTCAAGTTTCTCCTGTTGCTGTATCTAGCAATAGATCAAAGCGAAATACTGAATTTCAGTTATGTTGTGATGTTCTGATCAATAGAGTTGTCACATATGCCAGGTGATATGAATAATAGCTGAAAACGTCACTTTCTCACTGAAATACTCGGGAAGTTGCTTCAATCTGTACATCTTTCTCAAGTTTTGTGCTCTAAGATATTTTTGTCAAAGGCACTGTTCAACATCAGAAGCTCATATTCTTAATAAAAGTAGAATGAATTTAAAATTTGCCAGAAATGAAGATTTGCTTCTCTGGTGTAGCAAAATGAGCTGCAAGCTAAATGTCACAATTAAACATCGCTTATATATGTATAGAACATTGTATAAGAGTCTTTCAAATTATCCTGAATAAATTGGTATGACAAACATACGAGATTTCATTTACTTAAATATATATATATATGAATTAGCATTGCAAGATTTCAGACTGGAGCAGCAACAGCTCGGTGACAGATTTCAATGTCCTGAATGATACACAAATTAACATGTAAAATCACTGATCTCAAAAGACACTGGAAGGTCATAAACTAGGTCAAAGAAACACTGTTGCAGCCATTTTATTTTACTTTTTTTTTATATCAGCACTTCTAACCACAAAGGGAGTAAAGACTAGCCAGTATGCTGCTAATACTCTATTAAGTATATGAATACTGTCTAATTGTTAAGGGCATTTTCAGTTCTAGACTAAGGTCTG